TCTTGAATAGCACGAATGGCACGGTTCATAGGAATGATCTCGTAGTACTTTGAGCTCATGTACTTGTCTTGGAGCTTCGCTTTTAACCATTCATGCTCCTCGTTTGCGCGCTTGAGAAGCAGATCGACCTCTTTCCGACACAAATCAACCTTTTCTGGTATGACGTCTTCAACGTGTATGCCTTGGATACGAGCACGGAGTGACGCCATGAAGCAGTCCAGCTTTTCCTCAATCATGAGGTATTGACTGTTCTTCAATTTCAGGTCGCTATCAACCTTCCAGGTGACATTGGGCTTCGGCGCAATGACCTCGTACATTGGCACGGGGTCATATTGGATTCGAAGAGCAACGTGATTATACCCAAAGTAGCGGACGTGATCCTTGTGGATATCATGTGGGCATATACCTGCCCGGGGGTGCAGTGGCGTGCTCCAAAAAGTCAGTTCGAGGTATTTTGCGAAAGAATATCTCCAACTCCATTCGGACATGGGGAAAGCCTGGGTTTCCTGACCACATATCCTACAGCAGCTCCACATGAGGATGGTCTGATACATGCCCTTCAGTTTTGGAGGATACTTCTGAACAACCACAGTCATTTGGCCCTCGCCGTGCACATATTGACGAGAATGGTCAAGCATCCTTCGATCACAATTGCCTACTTCGCAGGCGACACTGGCTGAAGTGCAGAGGTCCTCTACATACTGTCCAAGCGTACAGTCTGGCGTAAAACCATCGTCGTAATCATGCTCTTGATAGAAGCCAAGGGCGATGATCTCGGGTCCAATACACGGAGTAGAAGTTATCGTGTTGACCACGCTGTAAAGGACGGCAATTTTTTGATGATTGAATGGGTCGTAAAGATCGGTATTTCCAGAAAGATATTGTTCCCACTGACGTCTTTGTGTCATATACTGTTGCATAGCTCTGTCGTACTCGGATTCGTGAACAGCAGACAGAAACTCTCGAACCTGCTTGGACGCCTTTTCAACAACCGTATGGACCATCTCGGGTTGCACGAGCTCGAATTTCTGACCCACCTCCCCAGCCTTTTCGTCGTCTTCGGGGCCGTCAGCAGTGTATTGATTTTTGAGCTTCTTGAGATGCCCCAGTTTCGCTTCGTACTGACGAGCCTGTTCAAGCAGATAGGGTTGCATGAACTTGACAAAAGGCGATGAGGACAGGATCTTTGTCCGGTGATTTTCAACCATATCGCTGTAGTAAGAGGGGGCGGCGTCATTGGACTGGTCTTGATCGCCCGCCCGTTGAGTGGCAGAATCAACTCCAACGTTCTGTGCTTGCCGGTCGTCTTGCTCAGTGGAAGATGCAAGAGTACCAGTCATAGAAGTTGTAGGTGTATCTATGAACTCGTCTCGCATCAAACAAGTCTCCAGACGAAGGTTGTAGACAACGTAAGTCATGAATTCGGTGATGCGTTTCAACCTCGAAAGTTCCTCACTCTTCGCGCCCCTCAGCACGATTGTGCATCCGAGTTCCTTTTGACATCCAGAAAGAAATATGTATGTTTTCTTCACATTGCGGTGCACATATGTCTTTACGTCGAAGCTGCTGCAGGATCCTAAATGGGATGGGTCTATCGCGAGCTTGTCGACTGATGAAATCATCCTCGAATTCGTGCAGCGAGCAACAGCGTTGAGCACTGTGGGTTTGACATTGTGAACCACGGCTATCCCCTCTTGTTCCAAAAATTCAAGGGCGAGGCCCGACACATTGCGCTGCACCAACAAGACATGGGGCTCAAGAGCTACTATGCGACTGACCAGATTACGAAGGTATTCACGCTCCTGTGCGATGACGGGCTCCAGGCTCATGAAATGTGCTTGATGCCGTGCATATTCGATTGCGAAGGTTATGATCGCAATCCGTGGATTAGGTATGCTACGTGGCATGCTTCGTAGGGCGACGTTCTTGGTGAAAACAACTCCAGAGATGTACGCTGTATCCTTTGGTTTGCCACCTGGAATTTTCTTCAGTTTGATGTAATTTCTAACATCAATGTCATCCCCTCGATCCACGTCAGGGTTGACATCATCCGTGCATTGCCGCAGAATTGGAATCAAGGCCTTTTCCCAGCTGGATGCATGTGGTACGTCCGAGTCGTTAAGCATCTGAATCAATAACTTTCGCGCATGGTCAAGACTAGCTTTGTTGAGTTCGACTTTGGGTGTCATGCCCTGCATTGATGCACTACGCGTAATCCTTGATCCCGAGGGTGTTGGCGATGGAGATGGCTGCAGTTGCGGTGTGCCTGGACCACTAGCACCATAGCCAGTATAAGGCCTCAGCAAAGTGTTGCTCTTAGACCGTCTTGGTGAGGCTCTATGTGTCACACTGCTCACGCTGAGATTTCTCCGCCGAGATGGCCGGTTGCCATTGCGACTCGTGATGCTGACGTTGTCTGCGTCTCGAGCATGTCCTGTGCCTATGACACTCCTCTCACCAGCTCTAGATTTTCCCTTCCTCATCGCAGCCAGGATGCCGCCCAACCCGCCCTTTTCGGTGTCAAGGTTTGCACTAGCAGCAGGGTCTTCCCTGAGCGTTGCAAAAATGCTGGCATGTTCTTCTTCACTCGAGCCTTCATCAGACATGAATGGCGCAAGATCTGGGTCAATGATATTATCGTGATGGAAAGCCGACAGACTAGGTTGACTACGTGAGTTGTCGTGATATTGATGAAAAGGTGCTCGGTCATCATGCTTGACATTTCGCATGTGCTGATGTTTAGAAGGGTGCCGTTTATGGCTAGAGGAGCGTGGCCGGCCTCCCATAGACCGTAGAGAGCGCGAAGAACTGGGGCGAGCTAGTGTTGGAGGACCAACTTCTATAACATGCTGTCGACGCTTTTTTTCACTGCCAATCTTTCTGGACATGGGAATGCTAATGGTCGGTGTTCCAATTTTTGTGTAATCACTCTCAACGTGATCAGGTTCGTCGTTGTCCGAGTAATGAACCTGATCACCATGATCGTACAGGGAAGCCTGGTCACCGTCATCTGTAAAATCGGAAGAGTCCTCGTCGTGACCGTATATGATGCTTTCGCATGGCTTGCAAACCTTGAGATTGCTCTGTTGGCCAAAGATCTTACCAGACACGATCGAAGTGCATTTGGAATCGAAGATTTGTCCACATGTCCGACAGTGGTGCTTTCGTCTAAAGGTAGTAAACGCATCACCACAGTTGAAACAGGCTTTTGCGTTCTCATCCCGCATCCAAAACTCGCGATCCAAGATTTTCCTCCGCATCTGTGTAAAGGTGCTCCGTGCTGCGCTTTGTCCCGCAGGTGCAGCCTGGGTTCGGCGTTGAATCTCTTCAATGGGAGGTACGGTAGGAGTGCGGATGGTCGAGGTGGTTGCGGCAGAGCTCAAGCCATCGGAAGAAGAAGCCCTTGAGAGGTGGTAGCCAGGAAGGTGTGAGGGACCGACCGAAAGTAGGGGCGGACGTTGTGGTTCTGGTTTATGTGATGAACTTTGGGAATTACCGGTAGCGTGGTTGGCTTGGGCTGCCTCTGCAGACTTTTCAAGCTGGTCTCTCGCCTTGCTGGCCGCAGAGCGAGGAGGTTGGTATTGGCTGTCTGCTCGAGAAGTGACTCTGCTCAAACTATCACGGGAGACATCTGCTCCATTTTTGAACCTGGCACCGTCGCTCGCGGAGCCTTCAAGCCCAGTGGTCGCCATGCCCTCGTCATCTATGTCATCATCGTCTTGGTGTGCAAGATCTCGAGGCGTGTTGCTTCTCGGTAGGTCTGTGTGGGATGTGCCATGTGCTTTGGAGTGAGTACTAACAGGACTCAAGACGTAGGCATCATCCTGCCGAGAAGCGGACACAGTATCGAGGGTCGGGGCAATGGAGGGTCGAGATCGGGTTGTGGAGATAGAAGCCTTGCTTGTTATCGTTGTGCTAGAAATATTGGAGTCGCGCGAGGGAGGAAGAGCTTCGGCAAAGGTGGCTGTCGCTGGCGATTGTAGCCTCGACGATGGCCCGGACGCGACAATGGGCGATGACACAGAAGTAGTACCAGGACTGGAATTGGTGACTCCATGCCTTGAAGAAGGTGGTGTAGCGGTCTTGCTAGCAATGCTACCGTGCCCATCCTGAGGCTGGTCCCTCGCACCCCCCACAGAAGCGCGCAAGCGGCTGTACAGGCCACTGAAGCCACCCTGGACCAGATCGATTCCCTTGGGCTCGCCAACAACAGAGGGGGCGGGGGGTACAGTGAAATCGTCGAAGGTAGTGAGCGTATCGGAGCGGGACGCCGTTGCGTGCAGCTGGTTCAGTGAGGGCTGCAGCGACCCCCGCCGCGAGTCGCCCGACATGGCTACTGGCGAGGGAATAGAGACTGCGGAGAGTAAATCAAGGCGGCAGGCGGTCGACGGCAATAAGTGAAGGGCGGCATCAGGCTTCACGGAGGATCATGGGCTGATAAGAGGTGAGGTAAGGTGGAAGTCTAAAGTTTCGTCACACTTGCACACAGGCCTACCGCGCAGGAAGCGAGGGCGGAAGCAAGGAGTCGAGGGCGTGTCACAGGTGGAACATGTTGGTAAAAAAGATGCCAGTCAGTAAGGTGTATAGGCATGGAGGATAGGCTACAGCGACTAGTTGCAGCAGAACAACTCGTGATGCTGCGGCAGAGGCACCGCCGACCTGCTAGCGGGCTATGACGCGCCGCCGCCAAGCCCATTCCGCCCCGCCGCCCCGCCATTTGCCAGGTCGCCGCCCCGTCACAGGTGCCCAAAGCATGCCACTACGGTGAAGAGTAGGCGCGCGCCTGTGTGAAACAAAATCATGGAGAGAGTGAGAGGAAGGATGAAAGAAAGCTAGATGCATAAGCAGTCTCTGGGATACCTGGAAGTCTAGAGCATCTGCCATGTCATTGCTGGTACCTCTCCACTGCACTTTGTCGCCCGTCCCATCCTTGCCCGGCTTGCCCAGAGCAAACGCGTCGCGTCTCGCGTCCACAACCGCCAAATCCACGCTCGGTATACATGGCCGTGCAGCTGAAAGCCTGGCTTGCAGATACCTTTGAGTGGCAGCTGGTACTGGGCAATCATTGGCTCCACGAGAGACACGAGAAGAAGAAATCAGGCGTCAAGACTGGGCGGGACAGGGCCTGGGAGGGTCTCTATCACGACAACGGCTCCTGCTTGGACATTGCAAACTACATCCACCCCGAAGTCGACAGCCCATTGCACGTCCTCCAGGTGCGTTTCACGTGCCTTTTGTTATGCATCCTCATCCTCTGCATCTCGCCTAATTAATCTGCCCTTAGACTCAGCCCTGGACTCTGACTGACGGCCGATGCCGCGTAGTTGCCCATCTCACACCCGACTGCGCTCAAGACTTTGCTATCCGGTACCCCGCGTTTTCCTGTTTGGCACCCGGTAGCACTGTTGCCGTACGCAGGTATACAATCAGATACACCTCGTACGGGCCGCCGCGCTCAAGGTTTCGTTTCTTGCTTCATCAGATTGATTGGCTAGGCGAATGTTGCCAGACGGTTTGCGATTTACACGGTAGAGAATTGCCGTCTGTATATTGCGCGAGTGCAGTTGCTACGGCACAGAAACAGCTGGACGATACCCGCGCGCGGGAAGACCGTCGATGCCTGTCGCGTAGTGAGGCACAAGTGGACGACATCATGGTTGATACTATGGATGATGTACAAGACAGCACTACCAATCCGGCCTCTCAGACGCCCTATAATCAGGCAGCGTTTGGGACGCAAGTACAGCATCCAATTCGAATGCGCGCCGACGAACCCCAGGTTATTGGCGTGACCAGGCTCGAGCCAGTACTGGCAGGGAACACACAACGAGTCGAGATTCGGAAAGACGAAGCCGAACGGGAGAAATTGCTCAGCTTACTCGGTAAGAATCAAAATCAGATTCAACGCAGCACAGATACATCGTCTCAGCCACGATTCGTACAGAGCGCATTTGCTAGAAAGAAAAGTGTCGATAGAGCAGCAGAGTCGTCCCTAGAGCCAGCAATCGAATCATCAAACCAAGGTGCACGCCGCTCCACAACAGAAGGCAAAGATGCCGAAGGCCCACCTGCTTTTCCCAAACGTAAGGAAAATCCCAACAAAGCGGCTTCACTCTCCATATCCAGGGGCAGAGAACCCACAGAGTCTGCTCCGGCGGCAGATAAGGATGCCCATGTTGATTCTGAGGAGAGTTCTACAGCCCCAGAATGCTCTTGGATGAAAGGCTTCATTTTCAATAGCGAGACTCTCAAGGTATCTTCGCTGCAACAACAGTGCTTAGCGAAAGACGCAAGCTGGTTGAAGCCTCAGCCCGGTTGTCCACCTTTCCAGGACGGAAATATGCCACAATTAATTCTCCAAGCACTTCATAGGATTGCAGATGAGCGAGCGAGCGTTCAAGATGACGGGAACAGCGACGCTGAATCTGACATTGACCCTTCACCCGATAGCGTACCGGTAGGAATCAACCTCTCTGCAGAATCGGCACCCCAGACCACTCAGGATGATGATGACTCGAGTGCTGAGGTTTCTTCTTGGGAACCCACTCCAGAGCGACCGCAGAAGCCTGCGAACCCTTACCTGGACCTGCCTCCAGATTCCAGTGCTGATAATCAGATGCCAGGCACGGAGTCGCCCTCTAAGACACAGTATAGTCCATTGAATAAACGATCACGTCATCCTGAAGTCATTGATCTCTCTGACGACAAGTCCGCTCAGCCCCAGTCTTCGCCGCCAGTGGCTCAGAATCCCGCAGACTCTGACGACGACATGGAAATGGAGGAATCTGTGCCACAAGCATTGGGTGATGATGTTGCAGAGAATGATAGTCCATCGAAAAGTATCCCCGTCGTGTCCAGCCCTAAACCAAACCGATCGCAATCGATTGTTCAGGTTAGGGAAACACCACATTCCAAAGGTAAAAGGGCACAGTTTTTAGAACATGTCCCACCCAGTAAACCCATTTCAAAGCAAGCGCAAAACTCCAGCGGTGAGAGTAAAGATACGTCTTCCACCTCCGTCATCCAGAGTACTTACGACATGCCGGACGCTGCAAGTTCTGTTGAGATTGCGCCAAGTCACACGGATAAGGCAAAACCCCCGCTAAAACAACAAGCCAGAGGCCCACAAGAGGGAGCAGAGATGCATGGTCGAGTGGCTAGACATACAATTAGCCGTAGTCGTGGAGATGTGCAGATGCGTGATGGGGCTCTGGATACGGAAGCGACGGCTAGTATAGCTGTTATTGAAGGGAATCTGCGAGTTTCAGAAGACTTGCTCGTCAAAGAGGAATCCACCTTGATTTCAAATGAGACCCTAGAGTCTACAAAATCGCCACACAAGGAATCCTATTCTGAACTCCCATTAAACACACCTCAGCCCACATCAGGATCGACCAAACGCAAGCTCCAAGTGTCACCAACAAAGAGCAATCAAAGGCACACAAAGCGAAGGGAGATCAAGATTGTCGGCTTCGGAGACAACTCGCCTGTTACAGTTGATCCAGTTGCCAGGTTGCGTGAGGAGCGGGAAGAGTCTCTTCGTAGATTTCGAGAAAACAGAAATTCGAGCACAAGTTTCGAGAGCCGGCCCGAAACTTCAAGAGCTATTGTGGAGGAACATGACGCTGGTGCTATGGATCTGGATAGCGCGGATAGGCCCGACAACGGAATGAGATCTATCAGTAGATCACCCCGACACCAGAGCCTGTATGCCGACCCAAGTCCCGTACCTGTACACCGAACTGGATCTACTCAGTCACGGCGGTTGTATGAAGAAGCTCAGTCGAGAGAAGAAGCGCAGATCTCACCAGCTAACAAGTACCCGACTCAGAGCAAGCAGCCTCGAGGCGCTTCTATCCTATCTGACCAAGGCAGCCATATGACAGTCTTTGACTCCTTCAAAGCCGCGTACCCCGAATACAAGGGCGATACAAAGCACTTCCACAACCAATGCAAGCAAATCTACATATTGGATTTGGAAGACAAGATGGTGCCAAAATGGCAATGGGACGACTTCATCATCCGCAACCGAACAGACTACCGTGACTACGCCATGGAGTGTCTCGATCGCGGAGAAAACGCTGAACCCTACCACCGTTTCTACAAAGATTGCATCCGCGACACTCTGTACCGCAAAGGTATCATCGAAGGTAGAATGACACTGGAAAAAGCGTTCGAAGAAGCCGATATTGTACTCGAAGAGTTAGATACTGCAATCAGCCCACCAAGAAAACAAGTACCAACGCGAAAATCACTTCCCAGCTCTTTTAACAAAATCAGAAAATCTCGCCAAGATCATATAACCAGTTCGCACGCTCGACCTCGTCAATCACTCCCATCAAGCTCCCACGCGCACCCCTCCGCATCAAAACATGCCCGCCCACAAGCACAAACAAGGCTTGCTCGTGAAATCAGTCCTCCCAATCGAGCAGAAGCCTCCAAGTCCACCGGTGACCCCTTCCGCGACTATGTTTACGCTATCCAACGAGGTACTTCTTGGACTGGAAGTAACAAGGTGAGTCTTTCTCAATCCCTTCTCCCCCCCTACCCTTCCTTTCTTACTTCCTTCTTTCCTTATTCCTATCAAAATCCCATCCTCGCTCGCTATTTCTGTCACCAAGCCATACCAACCGAGAAACTAGGGCTGAAAATGACGTTTTGTTTGGGTGGCACCAGGTCGATCCGAATAAACCTTGGCTTAGGAATCTAGAGTGCAGACCGAGTATCGAGGACGCGCGCCGAAACGGAAGGTAGATGTTTTGCTATGGAGTGATGTTTTAGATACGGAAAAGTGATGAAAGTCGCATCTGTTGGTTTGTGAAAATTTGCGTACACAGATGTTGTTTGTATTCATTTTTAGATAAAAGATTTGGGGGGGGATGGATCCGTCAGAGTTGAGAGGGAAAAGACGTGTGTGGATACCCAGAAAAGCACCTTTAGATTCAACCTTGTTGAAGGGGAGAATAAAAGTTTAATAGGAAAAAGAAGACTGAGATATATATGTGTACTTGTGCTACACGAAAACCCATGGAAATCCCAAACATCTCGTTTCCCACATTCCTCATAAGCCCGCCTAGTCCAATCATCCGGTTGAATCCCCATCCCCCAAAACGCCAATTATCTCTTCTCTCCCTTACCCATACATGTAAACACCACACATATCCTTAGCTCTCCAACCCCCCAATCCCCAACCCCCACCTCTGCTCCGACTTGCGCGCCTCCCTCCACCTCCTCACACCCTGCACGCCAGTAACCCCCACGGTAACAACTCCCAAGATCGCATTAAACGCCGCCATCATATAGAACGGCGAGCCCGGTCCCGTACTATCAAACAGCGCGCCCCCTGCCTTCGTTAGGAGCAAAATGCCAAAGCCACCAAGGAGACTGTACGTGCCCGCAATGGATCCCTTGATGTGATTATGCGAGGAAGATTGCGGTGCGATGCCCGCGAGCGAAGCCCTGCGAGAATGCTCAGGGAGCAAAGAAGCAGTTTCATCTACGGGAGTAATGGGCCGGCTATGCGGTGGCGTAGCGCCGGCAGAAGGGTGATTCGTAGTTCCATGCATACTAGCAGCTCGAGACGGGGAGCGCAAGTGTGACGGAGAAGAAGGGGCTTCATCATTGTTGATGCCGCGGCCAAGGAGAGCAAGCGAACACACTATTGCGCCGATTTGGCTGATGCCGAGGAGGGCCACGATGAAGAAGATTGCGCCTGTGCCGTCGCTGCTTTTGTAGTCTGGGCTTGTAAGCGAGCCGAAGGCGGAGTAGCCTGCTATACCCGCCACGGCTGAGACTATGAGTGGGATGTTGTAGCGTGGGAAGCGGCCGCAGAGGAAACCGAAGATGGGGGCGGAGAGGAGGGCGATGAGTTGGCTTATTCCCGTCAGCATGGCGGCGAGCTTGTAGGCTTCTGGGCATGCGACTTTGATATCAGAGGGATTGTTGGAGTCAACTTTGCAGCGGCCGGTTGCGAGGAAGTAGTGGTTTGTGAAGAGGGGAATAAAGAGAGAAATAGCGACGGAGGAGGCGCGCGCGACGAAGCCTCCTACATAGCCGAGTCCGATGTTGGGGGAGGTGAAGCCGAGGCGGACACTTTCGAGGAAGAGACGAGGATAAGATAGTACGACGTCGCGAGTGAGGTGGGAGTCGACGTCTTTGTGGTCGCCCTTGTGGATAAGGCGTTTCCAGCCTTTTCCTTCTTCACCGGGGAGTTCACGCAGGCCGAAGAAACAGCCCAGGGCTACGAGCAGTGCGATTGCGCCAACAACATAGAAAGAATCTGCGACTGCTTGGGCGGGTCCCTCGCCGGCGTTTTGGAACTTTGTTGGTAGTGGAAGAAACACGAGGAGCGCGACCAATGCGCCGCATCCTGTGAATGTGCCAACCAAGCCAGCGATTTGCGACGTAGATGCGCTGGTATCTCTATTCGCTGGCTGCGATTGCGTATAGTCCTCTGGAGAGCTTGACCGGAAGCGCGCAGGCGTAACAGTAAGTTCCGACGATATCGAGGCAACAGTCGCATGTGTCCTGTCACGGTCTAGGTTCGGTGACCGCGGATCGGGCTTAACATCTCTGACGATAGTCATAGTAGGCAAGATCGCAGTAACCATAGTCGCGCTACACGAACATCAGCCTACATCTACCCGTTGACACCGTCAAACTCACGTCGCAGTCCCACCCACACTGAACAGAATTCTCGCAAGCAGCAACTCGGGGTACACATTCTTGGCCTGCACAAACACCCAGAGCGCAACCCCGACAATGCTATACCCGAGTACCGCAACGCTCCTCACACCCACTCTGTCGCTCAGCAAGCCCCACGCTGGACATGCCACCAGCGCAACCAGCTCATCTGCAAAGCCCAGCGTACCGACCGCATCGCCAACATTATGCGACTGGCCAATGCGCTGGGTGATAACGAAGGATATGGAACTGTTCAGGAAGACGAGGAAGCTGATGCTGAAGAGCGCGACGCCGAAAAGATAGGATGCGATTTGGGTTCGCGTGGCTGTGAATTGGAGACGAAACATGATTGGGCGATTTACCGCTCGCGAAGAGCTGGCTGAGCTATCGTAGGCGCATTGAAGTGTGTCGTTCGCGTCGGGCGTGGTGAGATTATGTCGTCGCGCTGCCGGTCCCTCGGTCCGATGCGGTCATGGCAAATGGCTAACGACATGTGGCTGGTGCGAGGCTGGTGTAAGGCTGGTGCACATCACGTGAGTCAAATCAAGGCTTCGGCACAATGCTCATCGACGCTTATGAAGAAAAATGCAGATGCCACAAAGTAAATTTTATGCTATTTATTATGGTGAAAACAAATTTGTGTGAAATGAAGAATTTCCAAGAGTGGTCCCAAGTCAACCCAAACGCCAAACCCAACCGGGCAAGTCGCACAACAAGAGCTGACTGAATGCGATGACCATTGTACGCGAAGGCTTTTTGTTGGAGTATAAATACGCTTGATAAATGCTGCAGGGTAAGTACTAATACCCCAAAGAATTGCAAAGCACCGCCAATCATGCAAAAGACGCTCTACACCTTGCTCCAACCTACAGGCTGGCCACGTCCCTGGTCTGCTCCCCAGTACTGCTTACTGTCGGGGAAGTCACCGTTGTCAACTCCTTCTCTATACATGTCGCGGGCCTTCTTCACTCGCTCAGCGTTGCGGGGCTTGAGATCAAATTTGAAGGGGATTGGCTTTGCAATCAGTAAGATGGAGTAGTCGAGTGTAGGATCTTCTGGCTTCTTGGTAATGTCACCCCATTCCATGGGTTTGTAAGTGGGGTTGATAGATTTGGACTTCCTTGGTGCCGCATTATTGGCAGGTTCAGATCCAGGATATGTGAATTTGGCGAGGATCTTCTCCTCCATGGTAGCTTCTTTGTTGTTAATTCCAGCGTTTAGTTCTTCGTTTGATATGGAGGCCTTTTCGTTCAAGCCATACACTTGCTCTTTCTTGGTCTCACCCGTCGAAGCTCGAATGGCGGAGTCTTCTGAGCATTTCTTGATGTCAAACAACCATGCAACAGAGCCGATGCCGATGAGCATATCCTCGTCAGCCACTGTCTGGCCAGTGCACGTTCGTCTCCCGTAGCCAAATTGTGTTGAGTTGATGATAGTAGGGTACTGTGTCAAAGGTTCCTGGTATGTCGGATACTCTGGCTTCACCCATCGAAGAGGGTTGAAGACCTCGGGATCGGGGTATAGATCAGGCTCGCGGGAAATAGCCCTGTGATATTGTTAGAATACTTCAGGTTCGACGGGCTAGGTGCAGAATTACCATTCTAGAGGATGTATAGTACTGCCTTTGGGAATATGGTAACCATTGTACTCGTCATCCTGAGTCAGGTAGTGGGGGATACCGGTAGGGACAGGTGGGCGCCAGCGCAGGCATTCACGGATGATAGCCCGAAGAAAAGGAAGGTTGGGTCGGTCTTCAGCGCGGGGGGGTCGGTCACCACAGACGCGGTCAAGTTCCTCGTGCAACATAGGCAAATATTGTGGATAATGGACCATTGCCAAACAGAACGTCTGCATAGGGGCAGCGATAGTGAGAGCTCCTGCGATCCCGTGCATGCCGACAGCATACGCACCCTCTGTATCAGATTTGAAGCCCCATTTGCTGCGAGTATCTAGGAATGTCTTCATCCACGATGGTGCTGCTTGTCCTGTCTTAAGATCCTCAACAACCTGGGCCTGCATAGTCTGGAACCATGTGCGTTCGGTGAGTGCACGTCGTCTTTCCCATGCCTTGGGCGGTGAGAGCCAATCAGGTAGTGCCATCAAGAAGGGAAGCTTGTTGCTCAGAGATCCTGTGGGAGAAACGCCAATGAGAAGCTCACGTGCGCGTTGTTTCAGCTCGTCGCTGCCTTCGCTGTGGCCCCAAGCAAGTCGACAAGTGACACGAGAGATGTAGGATTCCAAAATGTGGTTGTATTGATCGGGGTCGTCCAGCAGCTCGGCCATCATACGCTTCGATTCGAGCTCGGGGTATCGGTGGAAGGATGCCTTTTCCGACTCGCGCATAATGATGTTCGCAAACTTTCTTTGGCGTGTATGGCCGTCTGCAAAGGGTCAGAACAGCACTGCAATAGCTTTCAAGTGCTCATTTACCATTTCTGCTAAGCAGCGGAAGATATTGCGCACTCGAACGGTTGTCGTCTATCAGAGATGGGATGTGCGGCCTGTCAGAGTAGATGGCTGCCTTTTTGGACAACAAGTCTTTTGCAATCTGATCCGTTGAGACCCAGACGTGGTTGTGCCCGGCTAGGTTGCATTGGTAGATTGGACCATACTGCTTGCCCCAGTCCGAAAACTTGATGTATCCATTTTTGTCTGGGACGTCAGGTACGGAGCCGATGATTGGATAGCCTAGTTAACACGAGTTAGCCTGGGCATGTACTGCTTCACCAGATGAAAGAAGAGCTCAGTGATGATCCAGTAATGGGTTCTGTGCACGAAGTCATTGTCTTACCCTTTGGACCCGGTAGTGGCTTGAGGCCTGTAGGAATTCTATTGCGGCGGGACGAATCCCAAAACTTGTACAGTGCATATGCACTCAGCGAAGCAAGCGCTAGTAGGAGGGTATGGAATCCCATGCTGGCAAGCTGTATGCGAACAAAATGGTACGCTGCCAGGTGGGAGGGCTACCTGAATATGAGGTCACAAAAGACGTCCGGGCTTATACAGGGAATGTGGGTGCACGGGGTACTACATATAGAATCGGCGGAACATGTGGTGACCTTTCCACAGCCGAGAACAGTCAGCTTGCTGGCGTCAATCTTCCCTGACGGGGCAGGGAGTTTCAAAACCAAGATCCCCTGCACAGCCGCAGGGTGCTGCGTGTCAGAGCCGAGACGGTGCATCGGGGCCTTGGACGTGCTCAAGGGCTTTGATTGCAACCGGTGCCTCCGCTTGTTCGACGACCTTACTGGTGTGCAAAGACGGGCGGTTTCCTGGCTGGACTGAATCGTGGACATGCATCTCTGGCGTGGCCCTGGCCAGAAAGCCTCTTGATCCCCATCCAGTTAGACGTCCAAGAAGCAAGCTGATAAAGAATCGCCGCAGGAAAGCGCCACAGCGATCACTGGTGCTGTTGTGCTTCACACTTGCAGTATCGCCGGTGCTGGGCGTGAACCGATGCGCTACCATGGACACGAGGGGACGGCGGGGTGGCCAAAAACGATTGGGAGCGGATCGGCACAAGCCCGAGGTAATTTACGAACCCTCGAGAATTGCTGTCAGAGTCGTCGTACATCATCAGCACTGGGGAATTGCATGCATGAGCAGCAGCACAGTGCCTGTTCTTGGACGGTGAGGCAGATGCAGGTCGGTGCATGCTGAGTTCAGAGGCGCGCCCATGCACCCATCCAGGAGCGCCAGAGCTTCAAAAGGATGAATGTTGCGGGTAGTAGTTGCAGTCGCACATCAAAAAGATGGTTGATGCTGGTGGTGTGTGGTTGGCGTGTGGAGTGCAAGGGGCTAATCTATTCTAGGAATGACGGCCAGAAAGGCGCAGTGATCGGCCGGCAGGCGTGACGCCGATGGCCCGCTGAGTAGACGCCAATCCCTGCCTACATCGCTACTCTCATCATAGGGCCCCCAGTTGCCTGAGGAGAGCCGACGTCGCATGTCCGACGCTTGTATGCCCATTCAACATTATTATCGCCGGTTCCTCAGCCTTTCTTGGAAATACGGAGAGTCGACACGTATCTCCTGTGGCGTCATCCCACCCAGCTATGGACCCTGACCCTGCTGCAGCCATATCACCCAACTGCAGCGAAACAAGCCCTTGGCCTCTTCTCTATCGGCAACTATCTACCCTTCGACGCCGACATCAACTCTGACGGACATGGGACCCCCCAGAGTCATCATATCTGCCACGCCTAGCCGTGAAACGATACTTGTTACTTTTCCTTGGTTGCCTTGTTTCCTCTGGCAATGACCAGCCTGCCAATTTCCCCAGCCAGAAAAAAACCACGATTTTCTCGTCAGTGGCATCCATCGTGGGCCAGCTGGTGGATTGTTGATTTTTTGTCATAATCAGCATGAAGCCCCCGCGTCCGGTCAGCTGCTCATTGCTTTGCATCATTTACACAATAGCCGTCTTTCCCATGTGTATTAGCTGTTCGGCTGAAGGCACATCGGGGCATGGGCAACTCCGTTTGGCCGTCATCGAGCGAGGACACCTATACATCGCGATCATGTAAAAAGTAAGGCCGGGATAGCCTGCCACTTGCATCACCGTGCTCAAGTCAAACTTACTGTTGGACTTCAGCTGACGACCCGGGAGCTAATCGACACATGTGCCAAATTTATGCCTCAGATTTAGAGATTACTAGGCTGTGTAGGCTTAATAAGGTATTTGGGCTCAACAGCACGGCTCACCCACGTTGTCGCACGGATCAGACAGGTATGGATTGAGGCTAAAGCAGAATGATTGTGCGTTGACGGATAAACTGTGTCTGCGGTTCCCGTTTCCCAGAATCTCGTTATCAATTATTTGTTGAACGGGATCGACCCAAAAAGTACTCTAACGCGTATACAGGATGCACTGGTTGCACAAGGCTTATCTAGAATTAGGCTCATTCACTACCTGGCGCCCTAAAATAACGTTTCCGGGACGTCTTTCCGAAGACTTGGTTCTGAATGAGGCGACGACCCTAATTAATCGTGTTTTTCAATGGGAAGAGTGTAGTAGAGTGCTCTGTAATGAGCATAGCCACATTTGTAGTAAGACTGGTGTGGGCGTGCAGTCTTTCATCTTGCACAGAATCCCACTACTTCGGGATTTTTCTTAGAGCCTCCAAGTAGTTTCTATTCTTGTGACGATTTCCGATGGCCTGTCCTTTTGTCGTGCGACTGCATTCACCCTGACTTTATCTAGGCTGTAACACTGCATCTCACACCAGGTCCATTTTCTGATGTTCGGCATGGAGCAGTGGACTGCCTGGGCGCGCTCATCAACCTACAAAAGTCTCACCAGGAAGCCACAACCGCATCGCCCCCAACTCGATGTCTTGGGTTATAGCGCAACAATGCTATCCGGAGCTCAGATAGGTTGCTGTCGGAACAGGCTGAATAGTCGGCGCTGAAGCGCGCACTGGTCTTTGCAGTAGTACATCTTGCGCAGCGCTACAATTAATGGCTTCGAGGTTCAAGAAAGCCCACTACCCATCCTTCCATACTTGTCCCGCTGCGTGAGCAAGCATACACTCTCGGTGTGGGTATTTATTTTCGGGATCTACCGGCATGAGCATTTAGTGTCTCTCGTAGGGCTTCAAGGATGCGAAGATTTGCTGGGATGTATGGACGGGATGATCCGATGAACAGGGGCACAGTGGGCTCATAACCTGACAGACGAAGACACTCGACCATATCGCAAATTCATCGCTGAGTTAGAACACCAATATCTTGTGAAGGACCGACTCTCAATATAGCGATGGAAATGTGGGTGTCGAGCATCATTCGTGTGCGTGCTAGAGACACAAACGGGTGAAAGCGGGGCCAGACCTAGACCCCACTGATGGCGTTGATGCTCGTCACCGCCTAGGCTTCACGAATTCACACACCAGGTGCTCAAAACCCGCAAATTTGCGAGATCGAGCACACCGATCTGTATGTTTTGAAATGCGCTGTTGAGCGCGTCTTCTGGCAGAATCTACTCCAATGTTGAATGTCGCCGTACCCCCCGAAACGGCGCTCGGCGACGCAAACCGTCCACTTTCCGTATGTTTTTTACATTGACTCGAGCCTAGCCCGCATACCGCATGTACACTATCCCCACATCCTTCCCATATACAAAGCTTTTGGTCCGAGTCGCCGATACCTGGAACCCTGCTAATTCGCCTTGAAGCTCCAATCACTCCCCAGTGAACTCCTCCAGCTCATTCTTGCCTATCTCGATACGCCCACGCTCAGAGACGTCGCCCTCGTCTCTCAACCGCTCCACCAGCATGCGACCGATATCCTGTGGCAGAATGTATGCCTGTCCGATCAGTGGACGCTACACAAAACGGAACAGACAGACCAAATCTGGTGTGACAGAGGGCGCGGAGAACCGGACGAGCATGATGATACGCCCATTATCCAGAAGTTGTATATATTGGCAACGTAAGTAAGGTCAAAGGAATGCGATCAGTCCGCTAATACTTGCAGCAATCCCGCCATCGCATCCAAAGTTCAAGTTGTTACACATCGCTGCCATCTGCCTACCCCGAACATCTTCAGCGAGCTTCCGCGAATGCGCTTCGACGCGGATAACCTCTCTCAGGACGAACGGTTACATATCCTCGTTAAACTAGCCTTACGAAACCTGGTCAACGTACATACTCTACGAATAATATACGGGCATTGGAAACTCACGAATGCGCTCGTCGCAGGCTTTCTTGACGAAAATCGTCCACGCAATGTACCGCTTCGCAAGCTCTGGCTGGAATGTTGCTGTTTTGAAAAAGACGCACTATACTGGCTTCTACCACACAAGACAACTGGTCTAGAAAGCATCCGGCTACGTAGGCTTGGGAACGAAATGTTTGACTCGATACAAAGGCAACGCTTGAAGTTAATGGAATTCAAACTCTCAAGAGGTGGCCAACGAGATTTTCCGATTCATAATGGGGCTGGCGGGTTCACTAGAACTACGGTCTATCTCATCGATGAAGGACTGCCTGCTCGAGGGGTTCTGCCATCAACAGAAGATCTCATCAGAAAGGGAAAAGCTTTCGATGCCGTCATCTGGGAAGAGCTTCCGGAAATTAGAGAATACGTCGATGCAAATCCAGTGGAGTTTGCACCTACAACATTTGGCCCGATTGCGCCCGATGTGAGACCTCCCTTAGAGTGGCTGATCGCATGTTCTGCATCTACTCTCACAAGTCTGAATTTGGACTGGGTACATTGGCGCCGCCGAGAAGAAAGCCCCAGCTGTCCTGTTAATTCTGAGCACTTCCTATATGCGCTTAGCAAAATGCGATTTCCACAACTACGCGCATTCCAAGTCAGGAATGCAGTATTACCACTCACAAAGCTTCCCGATAGCATCTACCTTCTGGAGGACACCTTTCTGGATTTTCTCGAGGCACACCCAAAGATCCTGTGTCTTGGTTGGCCAATAGACAAGGTCTATGGCCATACCAAGCCATCTGTTGATGTCCAGGCTCGATCGCAAAGGCTGGTTGCACACATGGCTACAATGTTGACGGATCTACGCATGGACGCACAACATGTGGGACACGGCGAGCCAGTCACAGACGAGTCTGGGACAATTGAAGGGTCTCAAGAGCGGACGCGCCGAAGAAGGTTCATCGCAGAGTTTGCTCCGCACATGCGGAAAGTAAAGCAGATCAAGATAGAAGGCGGGATACCACGGGACGAGAAGCGCGAGTTGATTCGAGCCCTCCACTGGTGTCCGCTCAAAAAGATTGTCATGATAGGCGGATCGTTTCCCGCAGGAAACACATGGGGTGCAAGAGGCTACTCCCTCAAAGCCCTGGACCCAGGCCAAGACGGCTCCGACGTTTTCTACGCTCTCGAAAACGAAGATCTAGACGGCATGCTCGCCGCCTATCGCCGCGGCTTCCATAGACCCCTAGACTTTACCTTTGAGCCCAGCTACGGCTGGCCACCACAAGCCCCTCTCCTCCACACCATAGCCCTGCACCACGCCTCCACTATCGAAGAACTCAAAATCTGCGGCTACAACGGCTGCCCCATCCTCTCCCACCCAACCCCAATCGCCAACCCCCTCCTCACCGGCCTCCGCTCCTTCGACAACCTCAAACAACTCGTCCTTTCTTTCTGGCTCCTCACCTGGCACGAAGATTCCTATCGCGATGCGGAAATCATACAGTCCTGGCTCGATACCCGGTCTCCGTCTGCTACCGCACTCACAGTCGTCACTCCCCCGGCATCACCCATAACCGATCAGCCTGTCGACCCAGGCCACTTCCCAAACTTCGGCTACCACCGTGCGGCGCCGCGTCCACAGGAGTTTAATCGCTGGGCCGTGGCGCTCAAGACGAAGTTCTCGCCTTCGGCGCTGGCGTACCGTGTTGCGAGGGATATAGGACCGTATTTGAGTCCGTTGGCTAAAGAGAGGAAGGGCGGTGTTAGAGTTAGAGCGAGCTTCTGTCTAGGGGCACACGAAGAGAGGAGAAGTGCAAGCGATATTTTTGATTTGGATATTAGAGTTGGCGTTGGGGATCAGGTGTTGGAGTTTGTAGGGCCTAGAGAGGAAGGGGAGACGGGGAGATGGTGGAAGAAACTCGAGGAACGGCGGTGGTTTTGATGTGTATTGGGTGAGAGTACACGTGCATTGTTATTGTTCAAACTTCCGGCTGTTATTGTTGTTATTGTGTCAGTGGCCTTTTCTGGTTAGTATGTGCTATGCGCATCATACAGCTGTTTCCGAGACAGTCTGATTTAAGTCTGCAAATGGGTCAGGGTTGGCGGTCAAAGGAGGCGTTTTTGTATATTCCCAATCACTCAACAAACGACGTAGCGTCAGCAGGTTCTGGCACGGCAGTTGGCTTGATTCATGCTTTCATTTCAAGACTTCATTCCGAGAGAACATGATGAAAATTTTCCGTAGTTGTGCCTCCAGAGCTATACGCTCAAACGGTCATGGCCATCCTCATTCGTCATGTAGGATGGACAAGCAACCGGGAGAGGGATGTCAGAACGCCCCATGCCGAGCAATACCATTTGCTTGTAGAAGAACCCCGCTTTACGATCATGCACCCGTTCCGAATGGCCTTCATCGCGCCTCTACTCCTCCGCACTTGACCCGCTCATAGTGTCGATTCGTTTACGAGGAGTTGACAGTGGGGCCCTTGGCGCCCTTGGGGGTACCGGTTTGGAATCCGTTGCTGAACTTGCGGTTGACGGTCTTGAGGTATCGCATGCGGCCGGTACCGGTGGTCTTCCTTCGCTTGGCCTTCTCGCCCCAGTTGACTGTCCTGTGTTAATTGCTTGTCTGGTTCGGTGTGCGCGCATTTGCACTCTAGGTAAACGTACACTTGCGGGTCTTAGCAGCAGGGTAGCCGCATGAGGCGCAGGTGTGCTTCTGGATGTGAAGGGATCGGCGACCTGTAGATTTCCCGTCAGTTCCTGTGGCCGATGTTGCTCCTTTCTCTCTCAACAGCTCCAATCCAAGCAACTGTATGTCCAGTGCCATTGTCCAGGGAGGAATTACATACCGCAACGCCTGCAGAGCGTGTGCGTCTTGTTGTGGCGCTTTCCGAAACTGGAGGTACCCTTCGCTATATCATAGTCAGTCTCCAAGCTCGAGGTCGAACGGGCATGTGGGAGCGCAGCGTACTCATTTTGGCTGGGGACTTTTCAAAATATTTGTCAGTAATTGGGCAGCAACATCAAATTGGCAGAGGAACATACCTTGTGACGCTGTTGTTAGTATCGGAGGGTGGTGTTGTCGCGAATTGTCGTGCGCTTTGGAGAAGTCTCGGGTAGCGAATTTCGAACATTGTGTGAGGCTAGTCAGTTTTGGTTTAGCGCGATTTACGCCAGAGCGTAACCAGCGAACAGACCAAGGACTCACACCAGCATCATCACGCAACGACAATGGACATGGAAAAAAATATGCCGACAGCTTTCGTCGTATCGCGCTCAAACCACTCACAGCTATTAAATCCATGTATGATTGAACTCTGTCCCAGCCAAGGCGGCACCACACGCACTTACCTTGGGAAGATGAGAGGATAGCATACATGCTGATGACATGTTCACAAAACGCGCACGGATCGCATCAATTAATTGAGCATCACAGAAGCGCTGGTTTGAGTCCTGATGCTAGAGTCCCAAGCATACTTTGCAAGGTTGAGGTTGTAGGGGGTACTAATCCACAAACACTAACCCACACTTGCTGTACTCCATTAAGGGCCCTGTCTCAGCTCTGCTTTTGAATATGTCATCTTTGACTCGTATGGGGGATATTAGAGAGATGGTCTGGCTTGCACTAACAATCTTTAGACTCTTGGACTGACGTCCAAGACGACATGGCAACAGACGCACGTGGGTAGACTTGATTGGATCAGAACTTCATTCATGATGTGAAGAGCTGAATACGAAATTATCAAACGCATACCAAGAAGGCAGACTTATGTTTCGCCTTGGACGCGTGGACTATCGTCTATGAAAGCCAGATGGAAATCGCCCCCAAGACCCCCACACGGGATTCCAGGCTATCCAATCCAGTTTCGACTTCAGGAGGACTTGCGACAATCCTTGCGAGGATATGCGCAAGGTGATGGATGCATGAATGGCATTTGCTCACAAGACCCTTTGGACTCCGTGCTACTGGCTGATCATATCTGATCTAGATCGCTGTCTGTACGCGGCCCAGTAGGTATCTGGCATTTGTGCCCAAAAAAAACATATCTCAACGTCTACAAGACCCGCAGACGTGAGGCCGCCATCAATACGTTCCTTCAACCAAGCAGTCAAGCACAAGCCAGGACGGCTGGGGAGCACGGCAGATGTTGACTCAGCACACCCGAAACTGCTCACTCCCATGTGGAAGGTTTGAATTTCGGTGGCCATTCGGCTCTAAGGGCTGACGGACTTGTCATCCCAGTATGAAAACCACCACAACATCCCAATACAATGGTTCGTGGCCCCGCAAGTATGTCATACCATCCCACGGCATATAGCTCAATTGTACCCTTCAAACAGTACATGGGCTGAACGAGACACGAGGCGTGCCGTCACGTCGAGGTTGGCATGGGTGCTGTTCTGAGGTGTTGCGTGTGCAGCCAATCATGGGCGACAACGTGAGCTCGTGCTTGTCCCTGTGGTGCAACTCCGAAATGCCTCCCACCCAGCGTTCACAGCTAAGCTCTATCGCTCGGCTTCTACTGTCATTCTGGCTTGGCCCCCTCGGGGTTCTCTACCAATTAGTGTCCAGCAGGATGGCATTTGGACGTCTGGTTCAACCTGGTCCGCCCCCTCGGCATGGACCTCGCGTTCGTAATACTAAATCGTCCCTGCAGTGGCATGTTGAAGCATGCTAATATTGACTCGCTTGCGATTCCATGGGACAGTCGATCGCCGAATACCACCGGCTTACTTCCATATACTGCGAGGTGGCCAGCCTGATCTACTCTTTGTCGTCGCGACTACTCTTATGAGTGCTCTTTGGTTTTGAAGGTCAATTTTCTTCCGGAGCACTCGCCTTGACTGCCAGTCATGCCATCTTTTGGACGTACTGGAAATGCGGCGTACCGAGATGTCCCTGGCGTCTACGTAAGTACTGATTGACACAATCTGATACCACGACGTTACTAATGGGGCTACCAGACTCACATTACAGACCCTAATGAGCGCCGGCGCATGGCCCTCGCTGAGGTGGATAAAGCACCCTTTGGATGGTATCATGTGCGCCTAGCTGTGGTCACTGGCATAGGTTTCTTTACAGATGCTTACAGTGTATGTCTAAAAATGAAACTGACGATACTGAGACATAGCTAACAAGTACCTCCAGTTGTTCGCAATCAACCTCACAGTTATATTGCTAGGCATTGTGTATTGGCAAGATGCAGACAACCATGGTATCATGCCTCATAATGCAGATACAGCTATCAAAGTTGCCACATCCGCTGGCGCAATCTTTGGACAGTGCGTTTTTGGATACTTGGGCGATTATCTTGGACGAAAAAGAATGTACGGCGTTGAGCTCATGATCATCATCGCAACGACCCTTGCGCAATCACTTTGCGGAGAGTCTTCTACCCTGTCCATTGTCGGTGTCCTTATCTTCTATCGCGTAATCATGGGAATTGGTGTGGGTGGCGACTGTAAGTTCGATTTCCAGTCAATTTTCCAGCTCTAGAATTTCGAGTTAGAATCAGCTATGTAGGTTTGTGGAACCGCTAATAATTGCTCTAGATCCCCTCAGCGCTGTCATCACAGCTGAATTCGCCAGTACACGCTACCGAGGAGGCATTATAGCCGCCGTCTTTGCAATGCAAGGTCTCGGGCAGTTGGCTTCGGCACTGGTAACACTTATAGTGGTTGTCATTTACAAAGACCATCTAGTCATAGCAACAGGGGTCGGCGAATGCGTAGGAGAATGTGCAATGCACATAGACAAGATGTGGCGCATCATCATTGCATTCGGTGGCATTCCCGGCTGGTTCGCATTATATTACCGACTGACAGTTCCCGAGACACCAAGATACACATTCGATGTGCTGTACGATGTCGAAAAGGCCTCCGTCGACGCGAGAAAGTACCGCTATGGCAAGCAAGGCAACGAGGTCGACCCGGTCACCCAGGCCCAGGCCCGCAGCGAAATGGCCAAGTACAAGACACCGCGACCTTCTTTGGTAGAACTATTCCGCTTTTTCTCGCAAAAGCGTCAAGCCATCCGGATCTTTGGAACCTCAATGTCTTGGTTGTACGGCTACCTCAGCCCCACCCCCATCGCAACACGTCACCAACTGACCACCCTCTAGTTTTCTCGACCTTGCATTTTACGGCCTGGGCTTCAGTTCTGCCTCTCTCATGGCCATAATGGGCTTTGAGCAAGGCGACAACCTCTACATGTACCTCCGCAACACCGCCACCGGCCAAATCGTGCTCATCTGCGCCGGCGCCCTCCCTGGCTACTGGCTCACCGTCTTCACTGTCGACAAACTTGGTCGCAAACCTATTCAAATCGCCGGGTTCTCCATCTTGACCGTAATATTCTGCGTCCTGGGTTTCGCATGGCAACATCTTACGAAGAAACACTTGCTCGCTCTCTACGTCCTCGCTCAATTCTTCTTCAATTTTGGTCCAAACGCTACCACGTTCATCACCCCGGCAGAAATCTTTCCTACACGAGTACGCAGTACCGCGCATGGATTCAGCGCTGGAATGGGGAAGTTAGGAGCGGTATTTGCGCAGATATTCTTTGCGCCCATGATTAAAAGGGGTGCCACACATGATAACCCCACACCTTGGATCCACGGCGTCATGCAGATTTTCGCTCTTTTCATGTTCCTTGGTATGCTGACAAGCTTCCTTGTCCCCGAGTCTAGGTGTGCGAGGTTGGAAGAGCTGGCGGGCGAGAAGGATGATGTATATGAGTTGCAGGCGAGTTTGTGGCGGAGAGGCGGTGTTGCGGGGGCTACGGGCGTTACTAGTGGAGGTGATGCGGAATACACGCTGGGGAACACGACAGTTGTGGTTGCAAGGGGAAGTGGGAGTATGTGGAGTGCAGATAAGGGGTCTGAAAGTGGGGGCAGGGAAGGCGAGGGGGAGAAGGGGTGGTGGCGGCATAAACATAGTGAAGGATATAGGTATGCTGTTTGAAGGCTCCTGTAAAATACGCACTATGCAAGTTTGACATTTCTTTTCCGATTCCCCTGGTCATGCGCCTTACCCATGTTTTTTTCCGTCATGTCGAATCCCTCTTCTAATTTTCGAACCCAATACATGCAAAATACCCAAATATGCAAAATGAAACAACGGAAATTTTTACCTCGCCCAAAAAAAAACCCATATACAATCCACTCAGCACACCAAACCTTTATACTTTCCACCCGCTCTTCTTCTTCCTGACGACCATAGCCCAAAAAATGGCCAAAGTCCCCGTTCCCACAAAAAGGAAGATACCACTCCACAATTGCACACCGAGAAAGTCTGTCCTTCCATTCTCCCTCTTAAGCAGCGCACCAGCAATCGGGGCGCCAATCAGCGTAGCCACACTGCTTGCACTCCACGACATGCCGAGCCGGGTACCCAACCGCGACATATCCGTCGTGATACTTGCGAACGCGGCGGCAGGCAAGGTAACAAGACCCGCTGAAAAGAAACCTTTTGTGATAAATTAGCGATTGAATTGTCTTTTTCTGCGTCTCCTCGAGAAATAAAGACGAACCAGAAAAAAAATAGAACAAGGAGAGAAACATACCCCATAAAACGCTAAAAGCCCTAAAACTCTTCTCATCCTTAATGGACAACCAGCTCAGGGCCAAAATACCACTGCACGTCGCACACATGGCCCACGTCAAGATGGGCCTGACGTAATGGGCCAAGAAGCCTACACTGAGTCTGCCGAAGAAACTGCCGGCGATAGCCATGACGAGCATGTACAAGGCGGTGCGCTCGTCGGTGCCGAGGCGCTCGCGGGCATACGTGGGGATGTAGAAGTAGGGGACGTTATAGCCGAGGAAGGTGGTGAAGGAGGCGAGAGTGAACATGAGGAAGAGTCGGTCATGGAGGGCGGATTTGTCGAAAAGGGCGCGGCGCTTGCGCGGCTTGTTGAGCCAGGCAGAGCCGGAGAGGAGGGCGGGGATGGAGAGGAGGGCGGTGACGAGGGCGACGAAGCCGAGGGAGCGGATGGCCCAGCCGAAGGACGTGCGGCGGACGAGGTTGTTGAACATTGTTATGTAGATGATTGCACCTTGGTGTGTGTGTGTTAGTTATTTATTCTCTCTTTCTGCGTGTATGCGGGATTCTGCGTCGTCCTTTTTTTTTGAAAAAAAAAGAGACAAAGAAGGACGGGAGAAACTTACCAACAGCAATCCCACTCATAACGATTCCCAGCGCAACGTTCCTTCTCTTGTCGAACCACACGCCTACCATGGCTAGACTGGGGATGTACAGCAGTCCGGCACCCAAGCCCATGCATATACCTTGGCTGAGGAAGACTTGCCAGTACTTGGTTGATAGACTCAACATCATGACGCCGAATACAACGAGAAAGTTACCGACAAGGAGCATAGAGCGGAAGTATCCCATGTCAAAGAGTGGGCCGGAGAGGACGCCGACGACGATTAGGAGCCAGGCTTGAGTTGTGCCGATCCAGGATATTGAGGAGGCTGTGGAGGAAGAGAGGAGCGAGGTGCGGTAGTAGGATTGGAATGCGCCGTATGTCAAGGTAAAACCCCTGTAAATAGATCATGTTGGTAAGTATCCAGGTTTATGTTTGCGTATGATGTTTCGAAACATATTGCTTGGCGTACTTGGGGGAGGCCAAGGATGATGCAGGGGATGGAGACAGACGCACCAGATGTTCATGTAAATTAAGAAGCCGCCCAGGACTTTGAGCCAGGCGTGGAGTCCACCGTCAGGAGCAGGTGGCAGGCCGGATTCAGCAGTGAGTGTTGAGCGTGCATCTAATTGGGCTTCTTTGTCTGGTGCCATGTCGGTGCTTCCTATTGCATCTGGTTCGTCATGTTGCTCGACCATCTCTTCGCTGTGCTGTTCAGATGAAGTACAGCTGTATTCGTCTTGCGAGACAGCCTTGTCATCGATGATGGGCTCCTTGTCCCCGACTGTCGAATGCGACGTCATCTGAACGTTTTCGCAACCTTTCCTCGTTCCTCTTTTGCTTTTTCCTTCTACTCTGATGACGCTTTTGAAATGGGATCTTTCCAGCAACTGCGGGGGTGTGCTTCGGGTTTACCAAAGGAACTATCCCGACTCAAGTCATTCCAAGCTGTGGTAGGTGGCCTAGACTAGAGCCAACATTTAAACAGAAACTCTCTCTTGATAAAATAGAGTCTGTGAGAAGGACATCGGTGTGCAGGAATAGAAATCGAGCTCGGAACAAAAAGAGAGAGGATAGTCCGGCAAGCGGAATAACATCATATGCGGAATAAACACATCATGCGCGGAAATGGATCCGTTGTATAAAGTGCCCCACTAATGTTCTAGCGTATGGGTATGTGATCATCATGTTTGGGAATAGCTAAGCCTCTTCCTCTTTGGCTGCATTGGCTTGTCTGGGTGCGGGACGAACGGCAGCTGCCGAGGTCGGAGTAGTGCAGTGACTGGAGCCTACACGTGACCTATAGCAGGGCAGCAAATATCTATCATTAGTTCTTTGATGTCAGGCGCAATTGCGTGTTACGGCACTATTACCGTGTATACGCAACTATAAGGACCGATTATTAGCAAATCAAGCTAGTCTGTGCCAATTGGAGTAGGTAAAAGGGCTCCATACAAGTCCAGATCGTTCCGTGACCGCACCACCATATAACAATGACTCCTTATCGCGACCCAGCAATGTGGGTTGGGTCTGTGTCCCAAACAACCGGTGTACATCATTATTGGACGTTTGTGAATATACGCTCGGGTTGAGCTAGTTTTGATTATTGGTATAGCGAAAAGCATCCGGCTTAAAGTGTCAAACGCCATGTACTGTGAATGGAATCCCATTTACATCTTATGGCGTGCTGGTATTTTCTCATGGTTGCTGATCGCTGCCTCTACAACTTAAAGAGAGGAGCTCCGAGTCTGGCGATATACAAGTAGTGAACCGCGAAGAGACAATGAAACGTCCGAGTAGAGAAATCAGCTTTCAATTGATATATCCGTCAAGTGTTTGAAAAAATCGACAATCGCAGTTCGTCCGGCAGTCTGGAAAGTAGTATAGCCCGCAAGAAATGTTACACAACCGCGCCGGTGCTGTCCAAGCTGCTTAGCTGGGTCCATTCGCGAGATCGAAATTCTGTCCAAGTTGCTCCTTGGACGCCCCTGCACCAACTCAAGAAAAATCATCACCACTGTGTTTCGAAGCTCAAGCAGCTGGCTTTGCAAACTTGGCTTTCCTGGCCTCTGCTGCGGCACGGTCCTTCTCACTCATCCAGCTGTTTCCTCCTCCACCGCTACTCTTGTTCTCGGAACGACGATCGTCCCGCCCATCCTTGTTCCGGTTATCCCGACGTCCTCCCCGGCCTCCAGTACGTCCAGATTCGCGGCGCTTGTTGCTAGCAGCATCATCGCCACCTTCGCGTCCACGCTTCTGGCGGCGCTCTGGCAGAGCCTCGTCAAGACCCTTGGGTGGCCCAACCTCTCCAAATTTCTTAGCCCTTTCCAACTTTTTAAGACCTTCATCATCTTCGAACTTTGTGCCAAACTTGAGCGCGCGCTTCTTGCGCTTCTCAATCTCTTCGTCAAGGTTGGTTGCGGCAAGGCCTCTTGAGTAGTCAGGAGCGGGCTCTTCCTTCTTCTCCTCTGGCTCCGTCTTTGCGGCTCCGTCCACGGCGCCTTCAGCTGGGGCATCTGTAGTCAGGTCGTCGGTTTTGGCGGGATCGATATCGGCTACTTGGTTCGGTACTGCTTGCGGGTTCGGTGGCTGGCCCTCACCTCCGGCCTTTTCGACTGTCTCCTTGTTGGAAGTGACGGCCTCAGCAGGCGCTGCTGTCGCAGACGCAGGCGCCGCAGCAGCTTCGTCATCATCCCAGTCGATCTCATCCTCTGCGCCGGCAGCAGGCTTCGCGCTGGCCTTCTCATCGTCTTTTTGTAAGCGTTCGACCATCTCGGCCTTTTTGCCAGTGTGGGGTAGCTTGCGCTCTTTGAGGAGCGCCGAAAGCTCGTCGTTCTTCATCTTCGCGTATTCCGTCATGGTTGCGCGAGGATTGGGCTGTGTAGGTAACGTAGTAGGCTTGACGCGACGCGAACAGGGACGCGTAAAGGGGAGGTGACGAAGCTTCCCCAAAGTCGTAGGAATGTGTGCGCAAATTAGTAAAAGGCGGTAGGCACGTTGATGAAGAGAGAAGAAGAAAAAGTGAAAGCGCGAAAGGTGTTTGATGAAGGTGTTGCTGGTCGAGGTTGAAACAATGATTGTGCTCGAGGCGACCGTGGATCGATTGAGTGGAGCTGCGACCATTCAAGCTAGTCTGCTTTCGGTGCCCCGCATCTACCAATTGCTTTTCGCCAACCCTGTTGTTTCAGGTTAGAGTTCACAACAATGAACAATACTCGCAATGGCAAATGCCTCAAGGAAACATCCATGTCCTGGTGTATTTTCTGGGCACGCAAATACGATGTTGTAGAGGGGTTCTAGTGGCAGTTTATCCGGATAGGATTGCATGTTTATGTACATAGAACTAAGCGTAAGGTCAGACCTGATTTTGCCAGTTACAAAAAGCACTTTGAGGAGCAAGGGTAGAACTGCAGGTACGCAGACTGAATCATTGGGCTGATATGTAGCCGGTGATGTGAAGCTTTCTGTGCTTATTCCATCGTTGCTCGCCGGTAGTACGGGTCAAGATCGACAGTTTGTCTTTATTTGGTCACATCAGTCCTTGCCCTCTTGCGCGACCAACTAGCATCCTCACAACTGCTCGTGGCTCCGTGAGCATCTTCAAGCTTGTGCTTGCCAGGAGACATTCTATCTCCCGGGTATGTAGCTGATCCATAATGATCATTATTTTGCTTGCTGTTGGTGACTATCTTGTCTTTTCGCGTCAGACTTGAGGGCTCTAAGTGAATTGTACAGCCACTCATAGGCGTACCACCCTGCATCAATGCCGTGTCCAGCATCATTGACATCACAGTGTTTTCTTTGTGGCCTCTTTCATCACCCTTAGTTTCCTGCACCCCACAGGGCTGTGTGCTGAGATTGGACAGATGCTTCGACTTCTGAACGAGGAAGCTGACTTTGTCTTCATGAAGCGTCTCCAGTCGCGTGGTGACAGCTGCATGCGTAGACTCGGACGTGTTCATCTGTTCGATCCGGCCACTGGTCTTGTCTTGGGAGCATGGGTATTGTGCATCTGTGGCGCATGGCTGGACGAGGGCTTTGTTCGGTGGCTGCTGAGAGTTGATCATCTGCTGCTGCACGTCCATCTTCGTTTGCCATTCCTGCTCACTCTTGCGCATCTCTGCCAACCATGCTTGATCAAGAAGACTATTAATCGTGTTTTGGTGCACTTGCTCGATTTCGCGATCGAAATCTAGTTGTGCTTTCAGGTCCTTGATCCGCTGGTCCTCGGCTGTTTTACTGGCATGGATGACTTTGATGACTGTACCTCGCCACTTCTTTATGTATTTCACCAGCTTTGGAACACTCACGCTGGTTCCTCCAAGGGCATGCTCATCTACAGATGTAATGACTGCATCCATGTTGTCTGAAAGGTCTTGGAGTGGTTCGTAAGGTGCTGCTGAGGTAGACCTAGAACTGCTACCAGGGTCATTGTCGGAGCGTACTTTGCTCGCAGAATTTGGTGCCCAGGTGCTGGTCGGAAAAGGCCTTGGCTTGACTTTGATCGCCGCAGGCTTTGCAAAAGGTATGATCAAGGGACCATGTTTTTGCAGGGGCTTCCTTGGCGCCTTCCCTTGGTGTTGGCCGCTAACTGCCTCAATGGCTTTTTGTGTGAGGGGTCCGTAATTCCGTACACGCCTGCTGAGCTTGCTGACTCTGTCACTATCGTTTTCGCTGTCATTGCTAGGCGTGGAGTGGAATAAGTCACGCCTAGTGAGACCTGGGCGACGGTTGTGAGTGATGGGATATTTATGTGGATCAGACGCATCATTTCCAGGGAAGAAAGTCATTTTCCAGATCAGTATCCTTTGCTGAAGGAAATGAGCAGTTGGGCGAAGTCACACGTTGGCTGCGCAGGCTTTGGTGGCTTTTGCAGCGAATGTTGTGGAGTAAAAAGAGAGCCAGTGCAACATACAATCGAGAGGCGTGGCATGAGATACATGTCCAGGTGCAGTGATGAGTGAGCCAAGGGTCTACAGCGCAGTGATATTCTCTAGGTTCACGGTGAACGCTAACTGTAAAGCCAGTGCCAGACAAACCTTTTGTGTGTGAACCTCTGCGATTACTGCATTTCAGCTGCACTGTCAATAGCAGCTTTCCTACTTATCATACACGCCTGTGTAATCTTCGTTTCCAATCGTAGTTTTTTTTCACAACTGTGAGATATTCCAGCATCTGCCCCGGATGTTGCAGCAATCCAAAATCTAGTTCTTCTCATTGCGAGCGACACGTGGGTATTGGAAGCTGCTGGGAAGGATCATAGGCCTGGGGCTGGCGCTGTTAAAAGCCTGTGTAGCAATCGGGGAACTTTCTGTGCGGATGGTGGTGCCAATGGCCATGAAGAAGCTGGTGGGATGTCAGCGCAAAAGAGATTGCAAGACGGGCAATGCATACCCAAAGGTGGCGGCTGAGCCCATCATGTATTGGCCGAGTGTTCTTAGCATTCCATTTGGTCCTGGGCCGAATCGAACAATGTTGGTGAATCCTAGGACCGTCAGCACGAGTGCGGAGGACATTGACGGCTGTGCGAACCAAAGATGAAGCCAATGATCAGACCGACGGCTGGACAAGTGTTAGGGCGCTCGAATCTTTCATGTGTGGTTGTGGAGAAGCATACATCCACCCATCATGCCACCCATCTTGACTGCATGGTGTTAGACGTTTTCAAGCAGAAGACGCGGGCACGGGAGCATACGCTTGTCAAGCGTGGAGGGGCCATGGGCGCCCTGGGGCATTGATCCGACTGGCACAGGCATCGTGGGGGCGCTGCGAAGGACTGAGGGCGAGAGAGAGGGCGCTTGGGGAGGCAGAAATGGGTTGGCAGCGGCAGCGACGGTCCCGCACTGAAGCAGCAGCGCCAAGCGGACACCACCCAAGTCCGGGGAAAGCACAAGCGTAGGATGCCCAAAGCAGCTAGCTGTGTGTGTAGTCCATGTGCGAGGACGTAGTATGTATGCATTGGTTTTTATCACGATTTGCTATTACGTAGTTGTGCATGTGCTGCCTCTGCCTCTGCCTCGTGCTCGCCAGTCCTGAGAGCCCGTCCGGTGGGAGGTGAAGACGGCTGCCGGTGGCCAAGCAGGTTGTTGGCCCACCCAGCCAGGCCTTCACGCACACCCTGGCCGGGGCCACGTGACCACGGTAGAAGCCCCCTTCACGGGCGGCAGCGTGAAAGGAGGCGGAAATGGGCTGGAGGCCCGTCCGGTGTTTCGCGTGCAGTGTGCAGTTGCAGAGAACGAGTGCTTCACCCACTCCCGGCCTGTCGTGTCCCGTCTCGGTGTCTTTGCCGCGTCGTTGTTTCGAAGCGGCCGTCTTGTCCACGCCCGCATCACGCCTGTGCCTGCGCCGTCGCCTCGCCCATCTGGCCACTAGAGCCGTGCAGCGAGACGAGCCCGACGACACCTCCTGCTCTCCCCAAGCCGCCATCCATACCGCCCTCCCCCACCACCGCTCATCCACCAGCCCGGCCCGCCCAACAGAGAGGCTGTTGCTGTGCTGCGTGCCCCCGTTGCCGCCTTGCGAAGCCCTGCACCATCGCTCCCCGACGTCGCACCGCACTCCGCCAGTAGCACGCACACACTCACACGCCCACACCCACACCCACACCCACACCCACACCCGCCAGACGACCCCCCGACCCCCGACCCCTCTGCGCGAGTGCCTCCCGCCGCGACGCATGAGTGCCTGAGCGACTTGTGCCCCCGTCGTGCCCCCGTTGCTTGTTTGGCGGCCTGTCACGCTGCTGTCGCGCCGCTAAAAACGGAGACCACGGGAAGCGTGCAGCAAAAGTGACGCTGGACTCTGTAAACACAACCTTGCCCTGCCCTCCCCACCACCTCGCCAATGACGGCAGTCGCGCCCCCCGTCAACTACCAGAACATCAACCGCCAGGCATGGAGCGCTGAGGGCGTCCCCAACGGCGGTGCCATCTTCATGCCGCGGAAGAGTGCACAGCGCTCAAACTCGTCGTCGAGCCTGTCGTCACAAGCATCTGCATCCTCCACCCTCTCTGCCTCGTCATCCTCATCACACCCAAACGGTACCGCCCCCCTCAACGCCGCCGACTGGGCTGCCACCCGCAAAGCAAAAGCCCCAAAGGGACTATGGCCCGCAACAAAGACTGAGCCCATCGCAGGAATCACCGCAGCACGAACACAGCCCATCGCTTCCGCAGGCCCTGGTTCCTCGGCCGCCTCGGCCATGAGCGCCCTCCAGGCCCCCTCTGCAATGGTCCCCTCGCAGCACAATGGCCCCGGCCAGGCCCAGCAACAGGCTAACAGCGCACAGCGGGCACAGGGCCAGGAGAGCACCGCCGTCCTGCACCTCGTCCCTATGAACGGCACATTTGAGCGCAAGACCATCACCGTCCCCTTCTTCCCCGACGTCCTCCGCATCGGCAGACAGACCAACAACAAGACGATACCCACCCCGCTTAACGGATACTTCGACTCCAAGGTTCTCTCGAGACAGCATGCCGAGGTTTGGGCAGACCGACAGGGCAAGATATGGATCAGAGATGTCAAGTCGTCCAATGGAACCTTTGTCAACGGCTCCCGCTTGTCACAGGAGAACAGAGACTCGGAGCCGCACGAGCTACGCGAATCAGACATGCTGGAACTCGGTATCGATATTGTCAGCGAAGACCAAAAGACCATTGTCCACCACAAGGTCGCAGCACGTGTTGAACATGCCGGTATATATACCCGCTCGAGCAACGAGATGATGGACCTCAATTTCGGCGAACTCGAAGGATCCCAAATGTCAAACATGATGGGCGGCGGCAACCAACAACAAATGCCAGGTATGCGAAGTCGCACTGCCAGTCAGAGTTCCATGAACGGCCAACGGCTCCAGGGTCCTGGTGCCATGCCCAACTATACAAATGGCCTCCCACAACCCCGCCATCCCAATTTCTGGCTGCAACCTATAACCATGGAACAGGTAGTCAAGAAGCTCAACGTGAGTCTAACTTGATAAACACCCCTGCTCAATGTTGCTAACAAAAATAGACGGAGATTAAAGCTGCCAAGCAACAGTCGCAAGATCTCCAACAAGCCCACCAATACATCAATGCTATCCTTTCCGCAGACCCCAAGAAGGAGCCTTCCAAGGCATCTCCCATCAATCAAGTCAAGATCTCCCCAATCAAGGATAACAGTCTAAAGGCTAGGTTCTCAGACCCGCCAGCTCCCCCACCACAGCAACCTCTGCCTGAAAAACCCGACGTTGCATCTTCCCTTAAGAGGTCAGACACTGAGCGTGCCAAGACCAGCTCGCCTGTACGCTCCGACCCACAGTTGTCTTCGCTCACCGAAGCCTTGACCAATGCCAAGAAGGAGATTGAGCTGCAAGGCATGCGCTTACGCGATCTGGAGACTCTGTTGAACGAAGAGCGCCGCGCAAGAGAAGATGCCGAGGAGCGAGCGGCTCGTCTCGAGCGCGAGACGAACAGGGATCACAGTGATGCGGAGACTATAGTAGGAGAGGACGAATCGGAAAAAATCGACCCGACTGAGCCAGAGCACGAAGAGCCTACCAGTTTGGAGAACGGAAGCCCTGTCCCTCCAACTGCCGATGACACTGCAGCGCGGCTACAGTCTCGTCTCGACCTTATGATGTCGGAAATGAATGAGATGAAGCAGCAGATGGAGCGCTACCGCGAACGAGCCGAAAGCGCAGAAGCCAACAGCAAGTCGCTGGCAGAGATGATCGAAAACATCAGAAAGGACAATGCAAAGGCCGCCAGTAAGGACGCTCTCTGGCGAAGCAGAAATGACGCTGCATCTGCGAAACCCGATGTAAAGGCCGATGCTGATGTCAACGAGGCTGAAGAGGGCGAAATCACCATTATCCGAGAAGAAGATCTTGGCAACAATGTCCCAAAAGCGGCGCCTCCTGCGCAGAGCCAACAAAACGGGCATGTCGTTGCGCAGAACGGCTCAAAGCAGTCTGGGAAATCGACTGCCTTGATTGCTCACAGGCTAGATCGAGATTCCATGTATTATGGTGGTCCGGTCGGAGCCATGGTGACGGTCGTTGCAATAGGTGTAGCCGTCATGGCCATGCTTAATCAATACCCCAAAGGCGAGCGTTGAGCAGACGAGTACAAGATGGAGTTCTGCTGCCCTACCGGAAGAAGCTGGTCTCCCGGGGCGGCGACGTTAGAAGTGGCTTTTGGAGAAGACACGGTGCTCCTGGCCAACAGGCATGGCAGTTGCTAGAGTGAGTATTACAAGAGAAGAGGCCAAACACACAAAACACCGACCTGTTCACCCTAGCAAGCTCGGGTCACACTACAACTCCTCCTGCTTCTTGCACTATTGACCGCAGCGTTCGTTGCATTCCTTATGCACGATGCTGCGCCAGCATGACGCGTCTTTTCCAACATCATCGTTATGACTGCAACGACCTTACCAAATACAGCCATTCTGCCTTAGACACCCAATCGAATATCTACCAGCATCACCCGCATACCTGGACGCTTACTTCAAACCACATCTAATGTCTTGTAACGACATTAGACCAGCACAACCACAACATTTTATTTTGCCTGTTTCCTACAACTCCGGCGTACACCACCCCGGCTGCCCCCTTGCGTCGAGGGCACGCCCATCTTTTTTCTTATATCTTACTCGGCGTTCGAGGGAACTGGGGACGGAGGCCTTTTCGCGTGCCGCATATTTTGGGAAATAATCATGCCTGTTTTTTTCTTTTGGGTCTCCTTAATTCGCTACACAGCAGATTTTTTTTCTCTCTCTCTCCGCCTTTTGTTCAAGGGGCGTTGGCGAAAAGCGAGGGACATGTTACTTGTTCTTCTGCCTGGAGCCATATGCGCATATCGACAGACATTCTTTGGAAGGAGCGATGGGGGACTAACTGACTAAATTTTCCTTTGTTGCAGGGTTCCCTTTCTTGTTTTGTATCGGTTGGCTTTGCTTTGGAATATACTGGTTCGCTCTTCTTCCTTTTCTTCTTTCTTCTAACTTTTTTTTGCGTTGGAAATTGGCATCATGGAACTTATGATGGGTTGGGGAGGATTAGGGAGGCGGACTGTGGGTGTATGTTGTTCGGTAAAGTTGCGGAGGGTGAGGCACAATTGGGAGGGAGGGGGGGAGTTAGTTGGGAGGAGGGATCGAAACTAAGTCGCTCGTGATAACCTCTTTTTCCTTCTTCATACTCTCCTATGTTCCGGACAACCCTTTCTTCAATGATAAATATTTGCCTTGAGCCCTTTTTTCGTTTTCTCGAATGCATGGTCTGGGATAGATTACGATGTGGTGTTGGTATGCTTTGTATGTACATACCAGAAAGGACTCATATCATCACTTATTGAACAAGAAGAAGAAGAAGAAAAAAAAGATATTGTGATACGCTTTTTCACTTGAGCCCAATACTAACACTCACCGAACTCACCATGCGTAACCTCGTCTCGGGTATCTCATCATCACCACCCCCTCCTTCTTCCCGTCCTTGCTGCTCCCCTTGCACACTAACCTCGACATCATCAACCGCACTCACACTGCCCATCTCAATCCTCACCCTACAATCCGCCTCGGCCTGGAAATACAACCCAATCTCCAGCGCGCGGGGTATCGCTCTCCCCGTCGCCTTGAGATACACTTCCTCTCCCCCACCTGCACCACCGTCTGCACCACGCTTCCGCGCCGCTTCCCCCGCTATCTCGCGCTCCACCATGCGCGCATCCAACTTCCCGTTGGCCTCTGCAAATCGCGCCCTACCAAGCGTTTTTTCCCGCGCCGAGACGGATTGCTTGTGTCGCTGGGATACTTGCGCCAGGAGCTTGCGCACGCGTTTTAGAGCGGAGATGTAGGGGCTCGAGGCGGTTATATAGAGGACTTTTGGGTGCTGGGATGAGGCAAAAGGGGTGGGGAGGGCGGGGTGGAAGAGGGGTCGTTTGGATACTTTGGCGTCTGTGGGGTTGAGTTAGTAGAGAGGGAAGGAGGGAAGGAGAGAGAAGACGTACTGGGTGGGAGTTTGGCGAGTTTTTGACGTTTTGAGCGGGTTGTGGGGTTGCGGGTTGAGGGTTGTGCTGCGGGTTTAGAGTTTGGTTGGCCCTTTTTTGTTGGTTTCTGAGGGGCTGCTGCTTTTTCTTTACCCGCTGCTGTTGTGCTGGGCGATGAGGTAGTCTTGCTCGAAGGTGGTTGTGGTTGCCCGCATGGTGGTGTCGCATCAATCATTGTGATGTCTTGAGCCGCCGAAGCTGATTGAGTCTGGACCTTGACCTGGCCGTTTACAGAGCGCTTCTTCCCGGCCATTGTTCCGAGCGGTACGAAAAACGAGTTGTGGTTGGGGAGGGAGGGTGAAAGAGATTCAGAGGGACATGTCGCGTCGCGTCATAAAATCTTTATCGATAAGTAAAGGCTATCAACGGCTTCGATTTCCCTCACAGTCGCTCAACCCCGCAACCCCCCCAAAGCATGCACATATAATAATGACTTCTATAGTGAGCCCAATGCGGCAGAAGCTTCTTCATATCCACCTCCCAGGCCTTATCCCCTACGCCACCGCCGCCCACCTGCAAGAAACACTCGTCTCCCGTTTCCTCGCTGCAAAGCCGCCTTCCACCACACCCTTGCCTCGTCCACACATCATAACCGCCTCCTTTCACCCCGTATATACCTGCGGCCGCCGCGAAATCGGCAGCGTCTCCCCAGCCCAACAGGCCCATCTGCTTGCAGATGGCGGCGCCGACTTTGTCGAAGCCCTACGAGGCGGGCAAACCACATTCCATGGACCAGGGCAACTGGTCGCATATCCGATTCTCGACTTGCGCTCGCACAAGCTCACGCCCAGACACTATGTCTGCCTTCTAGAAAAGAGTCTGATAGCCACGTGTGCGCGCTTTGGTGTCAAGGCTATGACGACGGAGCATACGGGCGTATGGACGAGTCCTGATGATAAGATTGCGGCCATTGGCGTGCATATGCGGCGGAATGTGACGAGTCATGGGGTTGGGCTGAATGTTGATACGGATTTGTGGTGGTTTGATCGCATTGTGGCGTGTGGATTGGAGGGAAAGAGGACGACGAGTTTGCAGCGTGAGGGGTGCGAGGGGTTGAGTGTTGAGGGGGTTGGGAAGGTGTTTGTGGATGAGGTCGCGGAGAGACTTGTGGGGGTGGATGGGGTGGAGAGGTTGGGAGAGGAAGAGGTGGAGAAGATGTTGCGGCTGTGAGTTGAGGTTGGTCGTTGAATTCCCCGCTGTGAATGGTGCGAGGATGGAATAGTGATAGGATTGGAGGAGATGGTTGATACCCGCTAGAGATGTCTTTCCCGATAGCATTGCAATTGCCTGGCTGTAGTATATAGATACTGTATATCATCGTCTAGATATCAAGGCCTTTTCAATTACGAAAAGCCATGGCTCTCGATCAATTGATTATTGTGTGCCTGAGAAAAACATTATAGACTCTGCAAACCAAGATGCCTAGAATTTCCTCGGTCTCCAGTTCCCAAGAACGCTTGGTTCCATTTCCTTGCTTACTACTCTCCAACTCACAAAATACTCATCTTCTTTTTGCAATATAAGCACTTTCTTCTCGAATCCCTTGCACTCTTATCAGAAAGAAAAGGTTCCCATCGCACTAAGCTTCTCAGAATATCATTGGCCAAACCCATACCATAAAAGCCCTTTACTTTTTCCTTCCCCTCTGCCCCTGTAACCAAAACCTACAAGGAACATACCCCCAACACAACCAGTGGCTTGCTGATGATCAGGGTCGTTTCGGCACAACGATTTAGAGTTTGACCGAGGGCGTGCCGGAGTCGGTCCTATTTCTATTTATCTCCTTTTGCTGTGTACGGTACCCTAGCCAAGAGATCTGGTGAAGTGTCGTTGAGTGCTATAGTAGATGCATTTGAAGACTGTATCTTTTCTGGAGAGAGGCGGTTTAAAATGGGACATTACTGGGTGAATGATTTCACAGAGAGGGGGATTTTGTGCTAGTTGTGCAGGTTGGATTAGATAAAGACTGGGTTGTTGCTTGTTGTAGTGATGCCGTGATATTGACAACAATCCCACGTTGGTGTTTGGACGTAAGGTCGCATCTGCACTGTTAACTACCAGAAACTTCGAACTCTCAATCTGGTAATTGGGCATATGACTGTTTCCAATTTTCCTTTCCTTTTCCCCTCATTTAAAAGGAAACATAGGGCTCAAGTGCAACAAGAAGCTTGGTTAAATCAACGTACGTTGTCTTTATCTTTCCTTTTCCCTCCAACGCCTTTTCCCACGTGCTTCGTATTCGCATATTTGATGGAAGTAATCAGATCACTAGACGAAATCAAAACAAATCTACATAAAAACGTACGATTCAACATGACGAGAGATCCAGATTTTTCGTTCTAGAAGACAATGGGTGGTGGTGGGACACGTCTGCCTCCCCAACATCTTCTACCGTAACCTCAACCACACGACATGCACACTCCGGATTCCAACATTTCAGTAAGCCACTCTTCCCTGTCGCTATCTGACGCAATAACTACTTCTCTCCATTTTCGTACACACGCGTATATCTCTTTTGACGTGATTCATATGTCCCGCATCTGTACAGATACGAACTCGTTTTTCCTTGCAGCCATGGTGGTAAATGGCAACACGCGTCGTGTCCTGGGCATGCATTTGTATGTGTGCTAACACGCACAGGTCGTGATTTTTGTGGAACATGATCATCCAGCTGGAGCACTTGGCAGTTAGCCATGGCGCCAGCCGAACCAGATGAAAAAAAAACAAAACAAAATCAAAAACTCCATTTTGCTCTCAGCTCTTTTCCTTTCGATTCCAGAAGTGGATCTTGTAAAACCGCTTTGCCTGGCCGATCTTGAGGCGTTTTCTTCGTCTCAGGATTTGGGGGCGAGATAACCACGCCCACTGTTGCCATGATCCCTGAAGTCAGTTGTGTCTGCACCGATAACCATGCATGGCTAGTTTTTTGCTTTTTGCTCCAATCTTGTACGACAGAGATGATGCAGTATGACATGTTTCTCATGTAAAACATGCGTAATGGTTCATATTGTAGTGATATATTTCTCCCAGCAAGGCATACAGTTCGTCACATGTCCCATATCCCCTCACTCATTCGGAAACCGGGTAATGATTCTTTCTCGTGGCGAGGGTATTAGCGATGCGGGCAGTGTCTGGCCCCACTTAATCCGGCACCGATTAAAGGTCCCGTATGCGTATTCAGGCTAATTGATGACAGATCGATCAAAGGACCCGAGGAGCTGGTCATTCGGATGCAATCCGCATGTACTGATGTGGGTACAGCATGGGGGAGAAACCCATTTTCGATACGCGAACAAGCGCTTGTGTACCGAGTGTGTTGTGGGCGTCTGCGCTAACATAGCGAGTAAGTATGTACAGGGGTGGTTGCAACGACGGGAGCCACTAGTAATTCGCTCAGAGTGCCGCATAGAGAGCATGCTGATGTAATCCTAATCCGGCCTCAAGCCAACCAGGGACTTGGAACTGCAGACGTATTTTCTTATTCATAGCTGTTAAGACTCCACTCGAACTTGGAGTTTGTGACACATTCCGCAAAGAGTCTTGTTTATCACGGGTTGAACGCGTAACCGAGGGATCCATCTTGTCTCGAAGCCCCTGTATCTCCCCGGCTCGGAGATTGCCTTGTCGCACGCAAAGTGGCTTGAATGATAGATTCTATGTAGTTTGATATCTTGCATAACTCTATTACTCAATACGCACATTCAAACTTGAGGTTTGGCCACCCGTATTACGTATTTCTTCTGCTAAATGTGAAAGGAATGTTACAGCAACGCCGATGAAACACGCCACATTATTGGCCATGGGCCTCGGAAAGCCTTCCAGTGGCTTCCGGACATCTGCACTGATCTCAGAAAAAACAATCAGAGCGCCATGGGCCATGTTGGCATTTCATCACCGACTCTTACTCTAAAGGCGTTGCCTGCCAAATTATACCAGCAGACTTCATGAAATGCAATGGTACACTATCATCCCACGTTTCGATAACAGATAATTACGGCTGCACATGATCAGATAATCGTCTCTGGAATGTTGTGTGGTTGAACTCACTCTGTACGACCCGTTCACAACCATAGGCTCGGTCTGCCCCACGACGGTGGCGTCGGTGTCCATGCGCACGTGTAGTGTCATTCCCATGTGTACTGTGCCGTTCAAGGTGTTTGCCGCGTTTTGCGCCAACTCCTTCGAGGCAAACTTGGCAGTGGCGGCGCCTTTGAAAGCCCCTGTCCTGTTGTCTCGGATGAACTGAATGTCAATTGCATAACCTACAGTCTGTAACAGCAGAGCGTTGAGGTCATCCATAGTGCATTTGTAGCTCAAATTTCGAATGAAGATACCTCGAGCTTCTGTGAGTATGGCTCCCCCCCGGATGTTAACGGGGATTCCGTTGGTTGTGGTCGAGTACACCGGTGGGGTTGACAGAGGGTAGGCTGGGTAAGTTGGAACATGGGCGTATCCTGGTGGCTGCTGCTGCTGTGAATAGGCTTGCAGCTGTGGGTATGTTGAATATATGTAGCCGGACTGGGCTGACATGTATGGGGCCGATGATTCAACAGGTGTCGCTCTGCCACCCCCCAACTGGTTCACTCTTGTAATGTCAATGCCGCAACGCCCAGTGGAGTGGCCACCTTCTGGGATTTCAGGAAATGCTGTAGAACAGTTACACCGCATCAACCGGTAACCGTCACCCCTACGGCTGGTTTCCCAGACATGCACAAGCATGCCTTTGGCTCTGTGATATACTTCTGCCATCAAATCAGTTACGCCTCACCGTTATTTGGGACCAAGTATACATACTGAACACTGCATCTGCATCTTCCCTGTCTTTTAGTCGACACCATCCTTGCATCTCTCCTCGTCTATGACCCTGGCTCGAATACACATCAGCCCACCCTGGTTGCTCCTTTACCACTTTACGAAGATGATCTTTGAATTCCTGCCATCCAGATAGATATGGTGCATAGCGTGTGACGCCAGACACCACGAGCAAATAATCTCCATCTCCCTCTTTCCATGAGCCTGGGTAAGACATGCCAGCGAGATGTTAGTAGCTGAAGTTGAAGAGTTTGCAAAATGAATAATTGTGTAGCTTCCAGGTGCAAACGAGACAAGATAGCCTTTTCAGGTATACCCTGTAATTAGTGGGAGTATATGAACAGAAGATGAAGTCTAGCGTTGGAAGATAGAATCGTACAAGATGACTTATGGTACTACCGGCGCTGTTCTTATGCCTTCTCTTCCGCGGACTCATCATGGCCACATTTTTACAGGTGCATAGCATGCCCTATTAATGACCGAGGGTTTTCATTCTGTCGTCGTCCAGGCTCACTTGGCTGGCATGGGCGGTGGCGTCAAGGGGGCGTCGAAAAAGTGAGGCCATAGGGTCCACCCGTTTCCGCGAGATCTCTGCTAGGACCGTACCCGAGCGGGTGGCCGAGATCCTGCAGGATCGTGAAGTATCATTGGATACGCCACAAAAGAGATGCCTTACGGCTATTGTCGAATCATTCTTGAACCCCCGTCAGCTCTTTCAAACACACCGCAGCACCCACGAAGATCTCACCGCTCTTCAGGTTGGACGTCTTCAGCAGACTGCATCTTTAGCTTTAGCTGTGCATTATATACTGTGTAGCGCGGCTTTACGTACATAACCGGGCAAAAACAATTCGTGTTGGTCGTAGCTTGCAGGTTAAAAAATGTCAATTGAATGTATTAGCTACACAGTGATTCTCTGAAGTAAGTAGCTAGATACAGTAATTTAGGCTCCGAATATGTGCAGTGGTCAAACAAGGAGAAATTAAAAGAACTCTAGAACTACTTCCTGGGGTTAGAAATTGTGGTGGCGAATCTAGAGCGTAATAAATATCTCCCTACTTAAGTTACCACCTGAAAAAAGGAGCGCTAAACCAATGCAGAACTTACAATTGCCGCACAAGGTTGGAGAACAGAATCAACCAGCCACCGATTAGGTCAAGGATTAACCTCCAACTCAAGCTTCTTCTTCTTCTTCCTCCGCCGCTTCCTTCTCGGCCTTCTTCTTCTTTGCATTTCTCGTATCGTCCGTATCTCTCCTCTCCTTTGCCTCTCACTTCTCCGTGTCTCGCTTCTCCGCCGCCGCAGAAGCCGCCAAAGAAGCAACGTAACCTAAGGCATTCATGAAATGTTACAGCGAAACAGGTAAGTTTCAATAGCTTAGCTAAAGGGAGGGATAGCTTACGCTCTATTTACAACCATGTTCTTCGAGGTGGTAGCATTTTTCCATCAAATCTGCTTCTTCAGTACAATAGCTTCAGTTAAAAGTTATGAGAGACTCCAGTGTTGACACTCTAACAATCATGGTCAATAATATTGTGACATTTATAAACAACCCGCAGATTCTAATTTACATAATCAACAAAGTCTGCGACCGGCTCCTCCTCGCTCTGTACAGAGGCTCCACTTGTGAAAAACGCAGACTCGTTTTGTTTTAACAGCTATAAGTAATCCGGATATGGGATGTCTTGTCTCTGATGCAGAAGGCCGCTTCGCATCAGTCAGGCATTGGCTCGTAGTAACGAAGCCAGTCCGAAAATTGACAAATACAGACAGCCGGGAATGTTGTCAACTCAATGAGATCTCCAAACAATGAGCTTTTGGTCGAATCCACCGCTTATCAGGTACTCGCCCTTTTCGTCATTGTTTACTATGTGACCAGACCAGAGGCAACGGAGTTTGGAACCAGGGTCGTGTGCCTCTAGAGATGAAACTAGTTTCCCGCTCTTTGCCTCGATACCGCGTACGACCCCGTCATCAGAGCTTACATACACACCTGAACCGTCCGGACGCCAAACCAAGCGTGGCGTTGAGTAAGATGTTTGTGGCGCCAGAGTGGATACGTTGACTAATATGGCGGCTTCCTCCTTATCCGCAACAGCCAGTTCAGCCCGAGCTTGTGACGCTTGTGTGATGGCTACATCGGAGTGTGCATCAACACCCGCAGCGGGTCCAGAAGAGCGTGTTGGGGGGAGTAGAAGCTTTACTATCAGCAACTTCATGTGTGGCGTGCTGCATACGTAATAGATTATATATTAGTAGATGTACAGTATTACATGAATCTTAAGTGCCTGGACTCACCTCGATGTGGCAACAGCGACCATGTATGGATTCGTAGGGCAAATCTGTATATCAGAGGGAGTAAAAGCCACCCAAGCGTTTGAGTGAGGAGCAAGGTTTTGCTTCCCTAAAAGGGTGAAATTTGGTGAATCTGAACTGGGAACGGAGTAATAGTGCAGGAATGTAGAGTCTCTTCTAGCAACTATGAGGGCTGGCGAGCCATCTCCAGGCAATGTTACAAACATGGTTGATTCTGGTATACTCGGTAATGTTAAAGTTGCTATCGGGTCCCCGAGCCTTGGCTTTTCGGCGCTGATATCGAGCTTGTATAGGAACACTTTAGCATCCCAGCCTGCGCTTGCGACGAATATGGAAGTCCCGTCTGCAGAAAAGGTCGATATCTTGACGAGATACTTGTTGTGGTCCTTGCGTTCTTCTATCACAGTGCTGCTGGCCGTATTGAATAGAGTCAGCTTGCCTGACATTGAGGCGATCAAGATATGTTGAGTATCTACAGGTACGACATCCAAAGTCGGCGAATCTTGGAAACCGGAAAATGTGTGAGCAAGCTCAAACTCTTGAGTTTGCGGATCCATCAAGTGTAAGTGACGATCAGCAGTAGTGACCGCAATGAACTGCCGAACGTCTGTTGTAGATGGTAGCAAAAGATCCAAGACCGCTACGCTAAGTATATTCGACCGATTTGGGAGAGTTCCTACGACCTTCGGATCGGCAGGTGCTTGGATAGTCCATTCTTGCTCGGTGTCATCGATACCAAGCTTTTCAAAGTTGAGACTAAGATCGAATTTCTTCTTCTCTTGCAAGACAGACTCAATCGTGACCAGGTCATTAGGAGCTGCGCCAATGTCAGGAGGCAGTTCGGCTTCCTGCACGAAGCTGCTCAACGTCTAATCTTGTCTTAGTGGGTGTATAGCAACTCCAGGATAAGGTGACGTCACCTGTGTGTATCCATTAGCTCTCAGAAACCGCGCCACTAACTCGGCTGCAGATGGAAGCATGGTGTTTAATTGGAGAGGTTTCCCTTTCAATACTCTGTAAACTGGCTGACTTCAAATAGACATGTCCCGTGTAGGGGATGCATAATGACTCTGGTGAGGGGAGACTGGATGGAGCTAGCGTCTTTATCGATAATGATGATCCCCACAATGTACCCCAAAGAAGATTCTGTAGCAGAAAAAGTGTCACAACAAGAACACGGCGACTCGCCATTCAATACTTGTTGAAAATGGAGGCAAGTTGCAATTTGCCGGGTTTTATTGCCATCCCTGACCATGGCAGGATCTAATCATCCTGCGTCGACAATTGACTGAGAAATTGGTCGCACTGCAGCACGCTACACCTGAGCAGCCTTACAGCATTGCGCATCGTCTGAACTTAGCCAGAGCCTACAAGGATCTTGGCTATCCAGACCTTGCCGCAGGAGATGCCTATAGAGCACTGATATTAGTGGATGAGCTGGTTGAAGAAGGCGAATACCATGATGAAGCCCTAGAGGCTGCACGCACAGATCTTGTTCCAGAAAAAATGGCCAACCTATCCATAAGTGCCGAAAAGGAAGCCATTCCTTCAGAGTATGAAGACATTACGAACTACGCGCAAACACAGTGGTCAAGAACAGCGTATGTAAGCTAATTTGGATTTATTGCAAATTCTAGAGAAGCTGATTTGCCAAGGCATGATATCCTTATCGAAAGCCTGTTAGACTGTGGGTGTTTGCGCAGTGCGTTCGACTACATTGCTCGCGCGATGAAAGCATTCCCTGATGATACTGCCTTCCAAAATCACGATGACTCTTTGTCAAAACGTCTGAAATCCTATTGTGAGCAGAACGGAGAAAGTTTTGAGGATATCGAGGTCGATGACTATCCTGACAAAGGACTTGTTCGCCGAGAAAAATATCCCTGGAATGATCACGAGCCAGATCGGTTCTCAGCCGAATGTTTGGACTTTCTCAACGAAGAACTCACAGACATAGCACCGAAACTGGAGGTGAGAGTTTCTGAGTTGCCCCTTCTCGCCACTGCCTCATCTGTAGACGGAGAGTCTCCAGAATCACAGTATACCAAGCAACTAGGGTTATTTGCCAAGGAGGATATAGCCCCTGGAGAAACCATACTAGAAGAGAAGTCGCTTCTCACTGGCATATCAAGACTGCACGAGTCATATTGCGATGCTTGCAGCATCCCTCTCTCGCAATCCGCGGACACAGCCAGTGAAAACATAACTTGTGAAGAATGCAACGAGGTCTTCTTCTGTAGCGAAGAATGCCATGACCTCGCCCAAGATCACTACCACCCTTCGATATGTGGAGTAAGCGTCGACCAAAGCAAGGTGTCTGCTCGTGAGGCAGCCGACCATCTCTATAGCCTTCTGCTTGTTCGCGCACTGGCATTGGCAGAGACCCAGGAGCTTCACCCCTTAGAGCTAAAAGAGGTCCGCTACATTTGGGGTGACTATCATGGCAAGGATCTCGATACTGTGTGGCAAACCGATTCGGCTGGTCATCTGATTGATCCTTTTGCAAATATGCCGCAAACATTATCCTTTTCTTTCAAGAGTAATGTACTCATGCCAATTCACGTTCTGGAGCAGATGGATGTAAACATCTTTACCCAAAGCGATCGCTACGACACCTGGATTTTCAACACACTGTATGCTAAATTCCGAGGAACAGCGTCTGCACAACAGGGAATGGATGGGAGACCTGAGATTAGCGCTGTTCACCCCATGTGGTGTCTTGCAAATCACAGCTGCGATCCGAATGTGGCGTGGGAGTGGCATGGGTCTATGCGATTCTGGACACGTAAGGAGCTCGTAGACTGGAAGGGTAGAGACCCGACCAAGGGGCCTGGGCTGAAGAAAGATGAAGAGGTGTTTGGTCACTACTGCGATGTGCGGCTTCCAGTCAAGGAAAGGCGGGAGTGGGCTGTCGGAGCACTGGGAGGCGATTGCATGTGCACCAGATGCATCTGGGAAGACGCGGCCGAACGCAAGTAGGACAAACCGCAACAGGTTGCTTATCAACAATCATGGTATTGTAAGAATTCGCTAATGTGGCACCGTCGTCCTGCGGGCATCGAGTTCGTGCATGGCTTCTATGAATAGTGTGCTTGAACTGTATCGGCTGAATCAGACATGTCAGACACACCAAACGGCAGAAAACGAAGTCGATGCAGGATATGTAGAGGGGAATCAAGATGTGGTATTCAAGATGATTTAGATGAGACCAAACCAATCTCAGCAAGTGTATTGCGCCCCCATGAGCCCTAAACGGCATCGTGCATGTGGTAGCAGCATATGTCAGACCACAATCTGATCCAGATCAAGCGTGCCACCAGATCTCCACATACGACGCGGATTAGGGCCCCTGCATCATGTCCAGTTTGTGTAAAGCAAGAAATTCTTTCACTTAACCTTATAGGATCTTGGTGTACTCAAAATCTACACGCGTTTGGTGTACTTTCTGGCTAGTAGTGAGCGCCGTCACCTTTGGATTGCATATACCTGGCATACGCTTCGCGCCGTTGCCTCAACATGCGTTCTGCCGACTGCCGCTTGTACTACATTCTTCCCACCGATCGCAAAGCGCCATGGCTTCAGGTGCCATCATCGGCTGATGTTTCACAACGCGCGTCGGTGTCCGTATATGTAGTGACCAACTCCTTACTACTAGCCTACATCCCGGTCCCGGGTACTGTACGCATCTGATCGGAGGACTTCCCGACGCTATATATTGTTTTTTCAACCTCGCTTACACCCGAAAACTTGTCACAGGCTTCTCTATGCAACATGCGTCAGAACTTGTCGTGGCTTTCAAGCTGACTTTGCGGCTGCTCCGAACCCGGCCTCGGTCCTGATGTTGGACTCATCTTTTGCTGATTCTATCATGTGTTTTTTCATCAGAGTTCATCGTATCTGGCTTTGTCAACGGATTATTACTGATTACCTTTGATTGCCCCAGCTACTGGAATATTGAGTGCGCTCGTCTATCGAATTTGGCAACGGAGGCGTTAGTCGGAAAGAGCTGGTGGTAACGGATGGCGCCGGTGGGCCGTTCAACTTCCACTACATGAACGGAGCCGCATGAATGCGCAATATTTCCAGTGTCATATACCCACATTGGGAAAACCGGTAGAATTACGAAGCCCCGTTTTAACGATCTTGCAGCTTTTATTGATTTTTAAGCCTGCCACACAGACGGTGAGCCTTCTTCCCGACAACCAGGTCAGCATTCCCAAGTATGACAATAGGCGCTCTGGCTGTGCTACTACGTTGTGACGTATAGGAGAAAGAGAAAAGCCACATTATTTGATCGACAGGGCTTTGTGATGTATGTAAGACATGTCAAGTGCGGATACGGGAGGGACAATCGATCCACAAAGGATTTGCACTGCACGAATCATGCATGGCGTGGCGGATCCAGACTATGGAACTACCTCCCGGAATGTGGGGAAGGGGTTCGATTATGATCCTGAGCTTTGAATCGCCTCCCCGAAGCTCGTATCTTGTACGAAGGTCAATAATCTAATATTCATATATTTTCAAATGCTGACACTATCAGTCTGGAGGACATCTGACAATACCACATGCAAGGCAATTGACTTTCAAAGCAAGGAAACGTAAGACGCGTCTGCAGCGTGGGCTCTTTAGCTCTGACGGCTCCTATGGAGAGTGGATTCTTTACATTCGTTCTCTAGCTACTCTACATATTCTGGCTGGCCTTCGAAATTGTTTTCTGGCTTATAGTTTGGCTCGTTTTTGATTGGGCAGGCAGAGATCCTAGTGTTCGTTACGTGACTGGACGCTGAGTGTTTAAAAACAGAGATTCCTGAATCCTAAGCATGCCAATCAGCATATAGAGAACTTCTCAAAGCTAGTTAGGTCGCGTTTCTGCGTGCACGAAAACCCCTCTACAACTGGTTGCAATATGCAGCTAAAGCTGCGACTATATTGAGAAAGGTTTGTGGGTGAAGGATGCAAGCAAGGGCTTACATGTCACATATGAACGTCCCAACAAGATGCATAGCGGATATACGCGCCCCCACATACACACAGTAACAAGACGGGTACCACGTCCCCCTTGCCAAATAGAGAAGCTAGGTAACCTCAAGTTGCGCCACAAGATTCAGATATACAACGGCAAACCAACCCTCCAATGAATCATTCAAACCTATCCGCTTCACTCTTGTGCCTCGATCCCTGCCAACCAAATCTAGTAACATCCACGATTGGATGTCGTGCTGTTTCCCAACGCCCCGGACTCGGCACCGAGCCTCACAGGCAAAAATGCATCATCTACACTCGTATCTTATGTAACTATACAGCATACCAGATGCCCTCCATCACGTCCAGCGCAACATGTATGTAACCGCCCCACTCTCTTTCTGCACAAACCCCTACCTATCCCCCCTCTCAGCCAGGCAGCAAAGTGGCAGTGTCTCACTGGCACGGAAAGCAGGCCCGGAAGCACACTGTAAGCAACGATACTGCAGCTGTGGATGGACGGCTATGTAGATACTTGCAGATCCGCGGAGAAAGGCAGGGCGGGGATGGGCGATGAGTGCAAGGATGTTTGTATACAGGGCTTCGGGGGGATGCAGGGTTATGGCGTTTTCTAGCACAGAGAGTTTGGGGAGATGGAGGTAATATGTTGCGGTGTGGAAAGTTGTAGTAGTCTTTACTGCTTTTGATGAAAAAAAAAAGGGCAGAGAGGATGTGTGTGGTGAGATGATATGGAAGAAGTTTGTTCTCGTCCTTGATAAAGTTAAAAGAAAATCTTTGTGTTGAGAGAAAAAAAGCACTAGTAACGCAGTAAGATCCAGCAGATCGAATGAAAAAAATTAGTAAATGACTCTATCATTGGGTTCACCGAGTAACTGTATAACAGCAAAAACCCTCGACCAGTCAAAACATCACATGACCCCTAATTTATTCGTTGAATCTATCCAACTACTCTATACCACGTCAGGTGCATTCCAAAAACATACAAGGTATAGAGCATGTCTTCATTGCGTTCAAGAAAAAACACCAGTAACCCCAGCCACCTTAACCAATGTACATAAAAAAACCTGGAGTTATCCCATCAATTGTCTTACATATCTACATAACAACCCACCTTACTCCATTGCACTAACCCACCGCCACCACGCCGCAGGCACCAACCCCGCCTCCATCCCACACGCCCTCGAAACAGCTACAATAACAGCACCAAGGACACTAACACCCCCAAGGACCTTGACAAGCGCATAGCTCCTTCTCTTAAGTTCGTCGCTGAGATTGCACAACCCAAGGGGATCGCGGGAATCAAGTCCAACCATCGCTCTAGCATAGCGATTTCCAATACCGCGCGTATTTTTCTCATCACCGTGTCTAACCATTGCCCATTCGGCTCTGGGCGCCGCACCAGGAGATGTTGCAACTAGTGAGCCTTTGGCAGCTTCTTCGTTGACGCATTCAAGCATCCATCTGGCGCGTTCTTTGCTTTGGAGTTCGTCGAAGCGGTCGCGTTCGTTGCGGCGGCTGCGCTGGAGATCCGTGGCCCATCTTGCAATTCGGATTTCACTGAAACGTTGGTCGCCTTGCGGAGCGTGACCGTATCGCGCTAGGGAGAAGTTGGGTGGGGGCTCGAGGGCTTCCGAGTTGGCGAGGGATGTGGATGAGGCGAGGATTGGGGATTGGAGGTTTGAAGGGTAGAAGGGCGATCCTGAGCCGGGTACTAGGACACCTGATGGTGAGGTGGCGGAGAAGACGGAAGATGCTAGAGATGCTGGTTCAGATGTTAGCTTCATCATGGAATATGGTACTGCTATTGCTTACGATTAGAAGTAGCTCCGTTGAGTCCTATCGATGCTGTTGTTGGACTGCGTGGTTGAGCGATGCTTCGCACCATGATCGACTCGCCAGGAAGCTTTACCCTATGCCGCCATGCCACGAATTTCTTTGCTGCAGAATGTCTAAGCCAAGTAATAGACTCGGGGTCGAATATTTGGTTCACTAGTGCTGTCAACTCTGAAGGCAAAAGAGGTTGCACATAGTCTGGCGACATAAGCAGCGATGCATCCATGTTATCATGGTCCAGGCCAAGAGTAGAGGATACTGCGTATGGATAGGTGGATGTCGTAAAGGGATACTGGTTCTCTTCGCTTGAAGCACTAGATACTGGAGTCTTTGGTAGAGAGAGGCCCTGCACATTAAGTAACGCATCATCGATAGTTTCTCCAAAGAAAAAGGGTCTAAAGGCGGTCGTTTGTAACTGAGCGAGGATGGAGGTCTTCAATGCTACAACCTCGTGCGCAGAAAGGGTATCCGATTTCGCTATAATGGGAATGACGTTGGTGAGGTATGACAAACGCTGCATATACTCAATATCCTTGCTGATGTCTTTGCCTGTCAAATGTCAGAAATAAATCATAGAAGTAGCGACTTAGCTTACCAGGCGCTAGTAGGTAAATTACAACGTCCACAAGGACGCCGCCATTACCGCTGACAAGTCCGAGCGCATCGCTATCTTCCAGTGATACAACTGAAGAAGTCTGGTAAAAGAGAGATTCCACGTAGTTGACAACGGTGCCTATGTCGTCTGCTTCTGTCGGTCCTGGGAAGTATCCGGGTGTATCAACAAAACAAATGTTCCTCTCCAGAACACTATCACTAGTACCCTTTCTCTTCTTCGGCGCACGAGAGTCGTCCAAATCAGTCCACCAATGCGGGTAGGGCTTCGTGCTTGCATGAATCTCTGTCACTCGTGTGGTACCTGCATGTGCTGGCTTGCTTGCACGGGATTTGGATCTAGATGCACGTGGCCGTGAGGTTGATTGGGGGGTTGGTAGAGGATCTACGTGTACAATGTCTTCGCATGCCTGCACGATGGATCGAACGAGAGACGACTTGCCGACTCCTATGTTATACAGTCAGTATCCGATGCGCTGCACAAAAGCGCGTACTGTAGACGCCGAGTATTACGCACCTGTTTCGCCTACAACCATCAACTTTAGTTTACTCATAGCCTTGCCTTTTGTCGTAAAAGGTCGTCTTGTCGGCATTTGCATTACGGGCATGACAAGTTGTGGAAAAGATAGGCCATCCTGCTGTATCTCGACATGGTCCTCCTCGCCTGCGCTGGACATGGCAGCTTGACTAACAGTTTCATCCATGATGGAATCCTCGTCGGACAGTTTGAGCGATGTTATCGAAGCAGACGTCGGTGTACTAGGCATGGCAGAAGTAGGGTATGAGGAGGACACGTCTGCGCCAGGCAGCTTCAAGGGTATATAGGAACCGTGGTTGGAATGATTTCTCTTCAATTTCCAAGTCTTGTTTGCCCTGGTGTCCTCGGGTAACGTTGCTGAATCAATCGACGAGCCATGCGACACCGGCCTTGGGCTCTTTGCAGCATGGCCCTTTGTTCTCTCTGCCTTGAGCGAGTCGGTGCGCTTTGGCGCATCTTCGGGACCAAATGCAGCTTCGAGTGTGTCTGCGAGACTTTGCACTCCGTAAGTGCCGTGATCCTCGTGCCTTGCCGAAGAGGTTGCAGCATGAAGCGGAGGTGCGGTCTGCTCCAGGTCCTCGAATCGTTTGAAGACGAAGGAAGTGGGTACATGGGATACAGGGGCAACCGGGTCGATGCTCGACTTGCGAGAGCGCGGCTTAACAGCAGGAGTGAGGGCGTCGCCGCCCGGTATCGGTCGCATATCAGCAAGATGTTTGGAGCATATGGCACCAGATGCAGCTGTTGAGGTGTTTGGCCGTAGGAGGGTTGGTACTAAGCCTCGTTCAAGTACCGAAGTGGTGATGGCAATAGGATGGATGCACGCGACGGCCCCCGCCTTCGCCCCGCGGCGAGCTACTGCACTGCTAGTCTCGCGTGGAACGCGTCAATGCGCCTTAGCAGTCGTGCAGACAGCAGACAGCAAAGAGGGCGAGTTGATGTTTGACAAGTCCTGGGAAGAGGACAGAAGGTTGGAGGTACAGTCAATGCTACGCCATAGTCGTGGAGCTATTGGGCTGCTGCCGATCCAAAGTAGCCTGTCCCATCCTCGAATCAGCGATCAGCGCACCTACATGAGGGCTGCATGATACATTATCAGCTGACGTTATCGCGACGCCGCCGAGATCCCATGATACCACTGTAGCTTCAAGAAGAGGCCTTGGTATATGTGTAATATGGCACATATTGTATTCGTACTAGAGCGTCTTGACGATTGCTTTTCCCATCCCCATCTCATCATGGCCTTGTACATGTCATGCTGTACATGCCTATCCGATTTTGCACCCGAATCCATTACACCAGATGCCACGACAGTCCCCAGCCCGTACCTCTAACCGTCACGTCGCCCACCCTATACATTAGGCAACCAGAAATGCGCGCAAACAAGAAAAGGGAAACAAAGGGCTGGACGAACACTTATGAGTACACAAGGAAACCATGCTGAAATGAAACCGCTCGCTATGCAAGGGCTCAAAACCCCCAGGGACGAACGCGGGCGCCCAGACTTTTCCTCGAAATGAAATGACTTTTATACAAAGCGCTGAAAAAAAGGGTCGAGTACAGTACATAGCTGAAGCCGTCAGTCGTTAGGCCATCGAGTCGAACGAGGCTCAACAGGGAACGAACAAAGAATGTGGGAGACAGAGAGAGACAGAGGGAAATAGAGAATTAGCCGACCAAAGTCGACCTTTAGGACTCCTGAGCCGCACCGCCGCGGCCGCGCATAGAACCACCTCGGCCACGAGGCTGGAAGTTTCCACGAGGCGCCTGGCCGCCCATACCGCCACGGCCACGAGAGGCACCACCACGAGCAAATCCCCCACGGTTGAATTGCCCGGGGTTCTGACGGCGTTCCTCGACCTTCATCTCGATGCCATTGACCGTGTGAGGGTTAGCAGCGACAGCGGCCTGGAATCCGGCGGGTGTCTTGAAGTCAACAAAGGCGCAGTTCTAAACCCATGTTAGTTCTGTAGCTTTTCCATATGCACATGCAGTTTCACTCACCTTGCCACGGCTGATGTCAAGATACTCAATCTCGCCAAACTTGGTGAGAGCGGCCCTCAGAGCACCCTCCTCGACTTGACTGTAGACGTTCTTGATGTAAGCACGCTTCTGGTCGGGATCAGCGGCGGGACCGGCGTTCTGTGCGCGAGACTGCTCCTTCTTGTGTCCAGTAGCTGTTTGCCAACCGGCAGCCTCGCCCTGGCTCGTGGCAGGGGATTGCTCACGGGCGGGTGCGGCAGGCTGGCTGGGTGTAGCGGCTGTAGATTGAGCAGGGGCAGGAGTGGCGGCAGCAGCAGCCTTGGGCTGCGAAGCGGTTTGCTGGGAGGCGGGGGCGTTCACAACAGGAGTAGCAACCTTGTGTGCAGAGGCGGCGAGGCTAGCCCAAGTGCGGGGAGCAGTAGGCTTTGGTGGGCCAGAAGGCATCGCGACGGTATTGGCCTTCTGTGCGGGTTGAGCTGGTGCGGCAGGCTTCTGGGGCTCAGTGGTCTCCTCAGCGGGGGCCTGGGGTTCCTCAGTAGCCTTCTCCTCAACAGCAGCGGGCGCCTCTTCCGCCGCGGGTTGTTCAGCCTCCTCTGGTACCTGTTGGGCTGGAGCTGCGGGCGCAACTTCCTCCACAGCCGGCTCCTCCTTTGCAACCTCCTGTAGTTTATCATCCACCTTGTTCAAGGCCTCCTCGTTGGTTGCAACCTCGTCACTCTTGAGTTCAGCATTCTCGGGGACGGCGGCGGTAGGAGCTGGTTCGGTGACACCGTTAGCGGGCGCAGCTTGCTCTTGCTGCTCTTCTTCCTCTTCGGGATCCTCTGCGAGGTAACGGAAGATGTCGTTGAGAACAAAGTAGCCATTGGTTTGCTCGGCAAGGACAAAGGTTTGGACAAAGCGCTTGTGAGGCTGACCCTGGTTGGAGATTTCACCAATTACTTGGATCACGATGTTGGCATCGGAGCCCTGCGAATCGACATTGGTAACGCGGACCTTTGTGTCCTTGAAGTCTAGCTCCTTGATGCGCTCGTTGATCGCCTGTGCTCACGTTAGTTTGATATTAATACTGGACGAGTGTTGACATACCTTCTGGCCCAAGCAAACATTGACCTTCTCTTCCTCAACGCCCGAAACGTACTGTGAGCGCTTGTTGTAGAACAGCTAGAGTTTGGGTCAGCGACAGTGTCTTGGTGAGGGGTTGATTGACATGTGCGACTTACGTAAAGTCGGTCGGGGCTCTTGCTCAAGGTGGTGTAGTACTGCTCGACAAAGTACCACCCAACCTCGTCCTTTGGAATTTCAGAGGCGGTTGCTTGTTGTGCGGGCTGGCTGGCGGTTGGTTGCTGCGAGGGTGTGAAGTTGGAGGCGCCGGTGGAGTAGCTGTTCTCGTATCCCTGTGGCGCATAGTTGCCATTGACAGGGCCAGATGATTCGGTGGATGCCATTTTTGGGTATGGAGGGGGAGGAGTAGAGGGCGTGTGGACCGAGGGCTGCAACGGCTTGTTAAATGGTTTGCGCGAAGAGGAGCGGGGATTCGGAAGGCAAAATGGAAAGCTCGCGAACGTTGTCTGTGCGTCCGCCGCCCAATCAAGCGAACCCGTCCAACACGTCGTCTACACTACCCACACACATCACCGCCACGTCTCTACCCTCAATATGGGACAAGGTAAAGGATCGAGGGACGAAAGAAGACTTCGGGACTGGTATCAGGGGCCTCTTGAAGAGGCTTGTAAAGAGTAATACTTTCATGGTATACATACAAAGTAGTCCAGGGCGACGACTAGGTGTTGAAGCAGAAAACAGGAGAAGAGATGAGATGCACGATAGAATGAAACCCTTGTATACATGCCCGCCCTGGTGCCCGATGGCAATCTTCCCACTCTCGATGCTCATCTTGGGTTGTTGGTGTCAGTGTACAACTCAAGCATTATCGTCTCCAGCCTCCTTGTTGACTGCACCGCCCTCTTCGCCCTCCTGCTGCTCCGACTGGGCGATTTGGACCTGCAATTTCGCAGAGCGTTGGGTCAAATGCTGCCCGAGACGAGCATCCAGAGCTGCATTTCGCTTCTGACGCTCCAGTTGCTGAGTTACTTGACGCTTTTGATGCTCCTGAAGCTCAGCTTTTTGACGCTTCTGACGTTCCTGACGCTCCAGTCGCTCAGCTTTTTCACGCTGCTCTTGCGCAGCTTTTTCACGCTCCAGAATTATGCTGCGCGTCACGTTCTCCAGGCACTGTACCTCCTTTGCCGTGCACCACCCGTTCTCCTTGAGTGACTTACGCGTCGTTTCCTCTAGGCACTTCTGCCGCTTCTTCCCGGCCTCCTTTTCTTCCTCGCGCCAAATCTTTGCCTCCGAGGCGAGAATCGGAATGCACTTTGACATGAACAGAGCCCAAAGGACCAGCGTAAGGAATGTAAACCAGCTGATGACGATTAATTGGAAGTCCTTCGGCCATTCAACTGGGTTGTTGAACTCACCCGGCGGTGCGGGGGCGGTGCGTTGGTTTTGGACGGTGTTATTGAAGCTGAAGACAATGTCTTTGAGGCCATGGATATCGTTGATCTGGTCGTGGACTTTGTCAGTCAGGCTGCTGATGTCGGCTCGCTGGCTGTGGATCTCTTTGATCAGGCCGGCAATGGTGTCAGCCAGGTCTGGATCGAAGGCCAGGATGGTGTAATTACCATCCATGGTGGTGTTTGTCTGGGATGACGGGTACATTAGTGAGGGCAGCACTTGAAGGAGAAGTGCTGGGACTATCGTACCTTGGTAAGCCTCGCGGCCGATGCTTGTTGGTGTAGTTGAACTGTGGTGGAGTGTAACAGGTTGGAGGGATTCTTTATATAGCTGTGTATGGAGAGATAGCTTGTGTGCCTGGACGGAGGCAAAAGTGGCAGGTTCGTCCAGGATGGCAGCAACAGCGGATGTGATTGCGGCAAAACCGGTAGGCTCGTCTCAAATAGCAACAACAGTAGAGGCAATTGCAGGAAGAGCTGCTGAACAGGCCATGTCATGGGTGCCAGCACCACAAGATTGGAAACGTCCATATTGTTCTGGTCATTGCAAAGAATCGGACTCTGAGATACAGGGTTGCATCATTGTCAATGGTGAACATACTCGGGTTAAGTGATAGCGTGGTCATGGGTTGAGCTGGCGACATGGAGCAATAAGCTATGATGACAGTTCCGTATCAGTATCCATTCCAACCAAGTACGGTGGAATGGATCTGCACATGCATTTCTCATTCATCCCAGATGCTTTATCCTCTTCGCTCTAGTGCGTAGTACATACTACAAACTTGTCCGATCTCCCCGACGACGGAGAGAAAAACCATGCTGGGGGACACCTTGTTAAAAACTCTGTCACTACACTGCGAAATCAACCCTGCAAGCTTATTACGATTTGTTGTGTGCCCCTCGTCTCTCGTAGTCTTACAAAAGGTAGGAGGAGTAGGTTGGCTGTCGGGTGAGGCTGAAGAAATCGCGCTAGTGGGGCCCACCATCTTTGGCTGGTGTGGACTGCAATGCTAGTGCTAGATCGGACTAAAGATCATCCACTCTTGCTCTTTTGTTGCTACCATCGCTGCATCTGGGAGCACAATGTCGCCGGCTAACGAGGTATTGTCTGTGCTGGTTACACGAATCTAGATCAAGCAAAAGGTGAGAAGGGATCCCTTTCGTCCTAAGTACATACGTCAGCTTTGGTAGCGAGTGGAGCCTGTTCCGCTGATCCGCCCACCACATGGACGCTACATGCCGATCGTCCATGAGCCGAAAGCAAGACAGATGCATTCTCATGGCATGTATGCCATCCTTTTGCGAGAAAACAAGCCACCATGCCCTTATCTGAAGGTGGGCTCTCCGAGGCAATGGAACAAGCAATTCTGTGTGCCCCGCACAAAAGCCACTCTTGGTCCGGAGCGATTGGTCGACTCTTGAATTTGGCAGGATCGGACGGATGGTGGAGAAAGGCGCAGCCCAGCTTACATATACTAGACGTGTCTATGCAAAAGTATGGCGCCTCCGTCTTTCACCTTCTTTTCATTCAACCACTGCCTTGCACCCTTCTCACATCACTAAGTGTTCATGATGGAAACACACAATGCGACAGTAGCGTCTCTTGCCGCGCAGGTTGCCAAGTTCAGCGCATCCAAGATACCCTTTCGCATATATCATGGTTCCACGCTGTCGACACGAACGTCGTCTCGTGCACGCAATCAAATCATCGACGTCAGCTCGCTGGACCATGTGCTGCAATTCGACGAGCTGGAGAAGACGGTACTCGTAGAGCCGAATGTTCCCATGGATAAACTGGTGGAAGCTACCATGGCAAAAGGATTCCTGCCAAAGGTTGTCATGGAGCTGCCGAACATTACCGTTGGTGGTGGGTAAGTGGAACATTTATTTTTGCACTTGAGCGGTCAAGTCCGCGTTTCTCAACATCCTTGCCCATGACACCCTTCTTATATGCAACATGATACATCTTCGAGCCACGGACACTGATTGACGTGACTAGGTTTGCTGGCACCAGTGGCGAAAGCAGTTCCTACAAATATGGGCTGTTTGACCGCACCATCTCGGGAATAGAGATTATCCTCGGGAACGGTGAGGTTGTGTGGGCATCCGCGGAGGACCACCGGGATCTATTCTTCACAGCTGCCGGGAGCTGTGGAAGCTTGGGCGTCATCACGCTACTCAAAATGGAGCTCGTCCAGGCCAGTAACTACGTCGAGCTGGAGTACATACCAGTCAGTAGTACAGAAGAAGCAGTGAAGCAACTTCGACTTCACCAGGATGATTATTCGGTCGATTACATGGATGGCATCATGTACTCTTTGAAGAGCGGAGTGATTATGATTGGGCGCTTGACGGATGCGCCAATGGATAGGAAGATCCAGAGCTTCGACCAGCCGGCAGACCCTTGGCTCTACATACACGCCGAAGACATTGTAAAGCGGACCCGGGGCGATAAGACGACGTACCGGGAGCTCATACCTACACAGTCGTACTTGTTCAGATACGACCGGGGCGTCTTCTGGTCCGGACTACGGGCTTTCAAGTACTTTGTCACACCGTTCAACCGCGTTACTCGCTATCTGTTGGATCCTTTTATGTACTCACGAACAATGGTACATGCGCTGCACCGGTCAGGTCTTGCATCTCGGACAATCATCCAAGACTACGGGGTGCCGTATGATAGAGCAGATGAGTTCATCCGGTGGATTGATGAGAAGACTGGCATCTGGCCCCTTTGGCTGTGTCCTGTCAAATCAGCACCATTGGGCGAGCGTAGCTTCTCGCAGGGCAACAACATCAAGGCCGACGTTCTGCTGGACGTGGGCATCTGGGACATGGGGCCGAATAACGCTCAGGCCTTCATCAAGCTGAACCGCGACTTGGAAGCAAAGGTGACGGCGCTTGGGGGCATGAAGTGTCTGTACGCGCATGCATACTATACCGAGCAAGAGTTTTGGGAGATTTACGACGAGAAGAAGTACATGGAGCTGCGCAGGAAATACCACGCCGAGAGTCTGCCGAGCGTGTACGAGAAGGTGCGTGTCGATCTGCAAGGCGTTGCTGGAGACAAGGGTACGCAGAAGAGACAGTCGTGGAGCGAATGGGCATACTGGCAATTCTGGAGCACGTGGCCGATGGGGGGACTGTACGGAGTTGCCAGCGCGACAAAGGGGTTGTTTTTCAAAAGCGATTTTTTGCTGAAAAAGTAAGAAGGGGTACATGTGCGTAGGTACATAGGCGTCAGTGTGTAGAGTATGGAAGCTTGGAACGAATGCATGGCAGGCCACGTGATGATGGAGGGGATCCGGCGTCGTCATGCATCTGGCGAGGAAATCCCCCTGACAGGGCTGGCTGTATTGAACCCTTTACTTCTGGGCCGTGGGAAGATCAGCCGCTGATGATTGTACGGGCGCCCTGTGGTAAGCCGTTCACGTGGTGACGTCGAGTGAGGCGGGGGGTGACTGCAAGCGCCAGCCGTTCACTCGCCAAAACCTGTATGGGGGCAGGTTTCAAGTGGTACTAGAGGGCCCAAGGCAGCGAGTGCGTAAAGATGTGTTAGTGAAGACGCGCCCAAGAGGCCGTCGCGTCGACGTCACCCGCGAAGGGCTAGCGCAGGCGCAGGCCATGCATGGGCCGCATTGACGTAGCAAAAAGCCTCCACTTGCCCAACCACCCCATTTCACGCACAGTCGCACAATCCCAGGCGCCCGTTCAACCTCCTCTTACCCACACTAGATCAAAGCTGGCCCTGTCCTGCCCTTCTTGTGCCCCGCTGCTGTCCATTCCACCGCACTCCCTCCGCCTGGGCACCCCATTTTTCATTCTATCCAGACCTTTCTTGGCCTTGCACCCACTCACCGGTTGGACCACGTTTTTCTGGCTGGCCCTTTTTTTTCGCTTTCTTTCTTGGTAGATAGGTATGGAGCTCCAACACGCGCAAAATCACGCGTGATTGACTCTTCTCGCACAGTAGGAGCTAACAGCAGCTGTAGAATATAGCAATTGACCCCTAGACGTAACACCATGGCGCGTCTTAGCGGTCTACCGTCTGAGCACCACCACGAGGGCCCTGGCGACGCTCCACGACGAAAGCGCGGCCGCCCATCCACCAAGTTCCAGACGCCCTCGGAAGACATGAGCTCCAGCGGCAAGCGCACTGCTTCGCCCTCTGCTGAGCTCTCACAGACGAAGCGCACAAAGCGAATTGCGGTTGAAGACGACGAGGACCAGATTGCCCACGAAATCCAGCAATCGTTCTCGCGATCGCAACAGGGAGACAATATCAACGTCGAGACGCAGAGCAGCCATACCACCCGCCGTCACGCACGACGACACTCCGAGCCTCCTGTCGCCGTCGACGAGGACGAGGACGAGGACGAGCTCATGGCCCCGCAAGCTTCCACACAACCGCTTCCAGGCCTGACCCCCCACCTGGATCGTGTTGGCGCTGCCCGCAAGCGCTTCGTCAACATCCGCCGTTCCCGCATGTCCATGCCTGCCCAGTTGCACATTGAGCGTGTCGATGAGGTCGACGAAAACAACTCCAACCGCGTTCAATTTGCGCCCCTCACACAAGTACTCGACAGCCGTGCTAGGCGCCGGCTTCGCCGTAGCCACCTGAGTCAAGAGGTAAACAGTTTCGAAGACCACCAGAAAAAAGACAAAAAGCTCTTCCTCGAGCTACGCCGCCAGCTGCGCGAACAAGACGAAAAAATCAAGGATCTTGAGTATCAGCTCGAAGCCCGTCGCCTCGGAGAGATTGATATTACCGATGCACACGCCGACGAGCTGCAAGTGCAGCTAGATGAGGCTCGCCAACAAATCGACGAGCTTCGAGCATCCTCGTTGTACAACGGTGACGACAACGAGGAGCCTGTCAATCTTTCCGATGATGAGGAAGCACTCGTCATGGTTGACCCCGAAGACCTTCACATGTCGCAAGACCTCGACATGGAGCCTATCCCCACTGGCAAATACGCCTCTCGTGCGCTCGAAATCTCCAGCCAAATGACTCTCGAGTCTCTACCGACCCTTTTGCAGCTCCACCGCGACAGCTTGACCGAAGGTGAGGAAGTAATGATGGACAAGATCGAAGATGAAGCCATTGAACGCTACGAACGGGAGCTGCAACAGCTCAGCAAAGCCTTGGGCGAGTCTCAGGGTGCATTGCGCTTGATCACGATTGAGCTGCAGAATCTGCGGTTCGTCGAGGCCGGTGCCTCCTCGAGCGACATCTTGGCTGAATTGCGACATGGATTTGAAGACATCCGTGCTGAGATTGAGAAGTTCTTCCCTGGTACCACATCTGGTGTCACCAACCAACAGCTTCTGCAGAAGGTCCCCCAGCTCTTTGGTGGCATCTTCTACGAGCTGAAAGAGAAGATCACACTGCTCAAGGACTCCCAAAAGACTGAGGTTCTTCTTCGACGACAGTATGAAGGTGTGCTAGACCTGCTCGGCGACTCCGAGGAGCGAGTGAAGCAGCTAGAGTCGGACGTGTTCACGCTTGACAAAGCAAACGAAGACAAGCAGCGTACCATTCTCGAGCTTGAGGAGCGCAATGCTACCTTGACCAACCTGAATGACGAACAAGAGGCCCAGCTAACCAAACAAGATTCTGATATCGCTGATCTTGAGGACGAAAATGCAACCTACAAGCAGAATGTGGCAGAGCTTGAAGAAGCTCTTGAAAAGTACCGCCAGGATCTCGACAACGTCACTACCGCAGCCACTGAATTCGAAAATAACCACCACGAAACTATCGCCCGCATGGAGAAGGAACATGAGGAGGCCATAGCCGCCCTAGATGATTTGCGTGCGGCAGAACAAGAGGGCCGTGAAATGGCGGAAGCCGAAGTTGAGCAAAAGAACGACTATATTCAACAACTGGAAGAGAGCATCGAGCGTATGGAAACTGATGTCGACAATATCACTGCAGATATGAGCACGCTCAGGGAACGTCTGGCTACTCAGACCGCGGCCCGCGAAGCTGCCGAGACCGAGCGGGATGAGCAGATTGAGCAGGTCTACAAGCACGCCAACACCATCGAGAATCTCACAGACACCGTCACTGAGCTCAAAGGGCAACTGAATGAATACCGGGACAATCTGGCCGCTGAGCGTGCTCAGCGCGAGAAGACCGAGGCTGATTTGGATGAAGCCAACGAGAAGATTGAAGATCTCAACATTCGTCTTCATGACACTGGTATCCAGGCTAATGAGCTTCGTTCGAAGTTGTTCCAGCTCCAACAAGAAAAGGAAGCTGCGATCAGTGAGCTTGAGGAGGATGCAGAGGAGCGCGAAAATGAGCTCAACAACCAGCTGGAGTCTGAGTCTCAGCTTCGTGAGGACGCCGAGAAGACAATTGGCCGACTGGAGCAGCAGATTCTGCAACTTGAAGGAGACATTGCGACGCTTGAGAACAACCTTGCCGATATGACTGAGTCACGCAACCAGCTCGAGCAAGACCGCGATGTTCAAGTTGCCAACCTCGCTGGTCAGCTCGCAGACCTTACTAACAAGTATGCCGCATTGGAGAATTCAACCAGCTCTACGATTGCGTCTCTTCAAGCCAACATCATCGACCTCAACAATCAGGTGCAGCGTCAACAAAGCGAAATTGAGGACCTCATTGAGCAAGTCGCTGAGAAGGAGCGCGTGTATCTCGAAGATACTACCGCTCTCAAGGAGAAGATTGAGAATCTCGAGGAGGATCTTAGCAACCAGAAGGCCGAGAATGAGAGTTATCGAAGAGAGAACGACTCCTTGTCTAGACGTGTCGAGGCGGAGGCTAATGAGCTACTGAACATTGTCGGTGCGCACAACGACCAGATTAACTCTCTCAACGCCGTCATCAGGTCACATGAGGCGACGATCAAGACCCTCCAAGACTCGTCTGAGAAGCGCGCGGCTGAGTACGAGGAGTTGCTTGAGGACCGCAACAACGAAATCACCGAGATGCGTCTCTTGGGCGATGCTCGTGTCGAGACGATTGTCCTTCTTGAAGCTCAAATCGAAGAGATGAAGGAGCGCTTCCGCCTTGCTGAAGAAGATACGCGCGCGACCATCGACGCCTTGACTGCTTCACAGCGCCAACTTCAAGAACAAAATGAGCGACTCGCCGACGATCTCAAACGCCGCAACCAGGAAGCTCTTCAAGCTGTACAAGAAATGAAGCTCAAGCGTGTCGAAGTCAAGACCCAGGGTGTTGACCTGCACCGCGTTGTCGGGGGCAAGATTGCCAAGACAAGCGAGAAGGTCAAGATCGGCAAGAAGGGCAAGAAGAAGAGCTCTAGGCGCCAATGGGATTCCGGATTTGGCGTTGATGAGAATGTAGAAGATGATGAGCTTAATGGCGAAGAGCAACCGATTGCCGCGTAGACTGCACTTGGATGCGGTCTCGATAAGGTTTCCTGAGGCCCACTTTTCTTGGGCTCCACAAGGGATGATGTGTATGTTCTTGGTCTTTGGCTTTTCGTCTTCTTTACTTCAAACCCACCTGGATGTTGTCGTTGTATAAGACCTTTTTCTATCTGTCTCTTCTACACCTTTCTGGTTTTCTTTTCTCTCCCCATTGGGGCTGGTACAAGTTGTTTGTCTCCCTTTTCTTTTGCAGAAAATTGTATGCCTCTCTTCTTTCTGTTTTTCTTACTCTTTGGAGGGAGGGGGGACAGGAGCTTGTGTTGTCTTCTTGTGTTTTATCCTTTCATCTCGAAAGGATAGGTCATACCCGGGACAAGATCCATTGCTACAAATTAATGACTTTTGATGACTTGGCTTCTACTGGCTTCGTTTCTTCGGCCTGTTTCTTTTTCTTTTTGACTTGGTCTGGTTTGGAAGTAATTACACAGCAAGGCAATAACAGTGTATGTATGCATGTATGTACGTATGTATGTTACTTTCCTTTGTGGCATATTAGCGAGGTGGAGTTTCCTTTATGGTACTGCATGCCCGATGGGTTTCATGGCGAAGATGGAAAGACGAGGATCACAGCAAGCAAGTGGGTACATGTGCTAGGTAGTTGTAGTTGGTTCTGTAACCGTTCAAATTCTCATTGGTCTAATTGAACACAATGGCTCTAGTGTGCTTCATGTATACTCACCTCCCTTCGTAGCTCGTATCTCATACCGTGTGGGTCTCTGATGCACTATATGAGATAATCAAAGGCGCGTGCACATCCTCAATCTACGGCACGACTTTGATTACGCGCATATCCAGTCTGCGATCTTGTGCATTATACACACTGAAAAGACCATTGAAGCCGACAAATCCGCGCTTGGATACCTAACTTTTGCAATCAACCCCCCGATTCCCCATACTCGTATCGCCACTTATTACTACTATACTTGACTTTTTTTTTGTTCGCCGTGTGCTCGTAATACACACACACAATCTCTCTATTCTTCCCCTCCCCCACAACCATCTTACCGTCCCAGTCCCTCACAATCTTAAAATTCTTCCATCGTTTGTAACTTGCCTTTGATCCCTGTACCCCTTCCCCTTGGCAAACTCCATACCCACTGACTTACTTTACTTACTTACCCACCCANTTCCCCGGTCAACTACAAAAGAAGAAAAATAAATAGGGGTGTTGGGGTACTTATGCGCAGGAATAAGAGCAAGGATGGAGGGGTTATATCATGGTTTTATTTTTACAGGTTTCTTTACCCGAAGCGTTGGTGGGGGGCGGCGGAAAGGAAGGGAGGTGTGTGTGTGTGGGGGGAGGGGATTTTGGAATGTTTAGATTTGTATGTAAAAAATGAAGAATGAGGAGAGATCAAAGTCGTCGATTTTTGATTTTTTGTTGATTCTTGTTGTTGTCTATATGTACATGTCGGTTTGGTTGACATTCGTTTCAAAAAAAGTGAAGATAAGATATATACAATTGCAGAACTTGGGTATTTTGCCCCCCGCCCCCCAACGCTGCCGCCCCCTCGGGTTTCGCTGGTGCGCAAGAGCGTGGTTGCGCAATGTGGTCTGGGCCGCGAACACATATATAGTGCATTGGCAATGCGTTTCTTCCCTTGTGGGAAACCATGGTTTTTTTCACAGGGAGTATGCTTGTTTTCCCCACTGGGTTATGCCGTATGGCCGGCTCGGGCAATGCTCGTTTCCCGTGTAGTTGTGGGTGAGAGAGAGAGAGGGGAGGGGATAATGGGTTGTAGTATGAGTCTTGGGCGAAGAGAAAAAAACTTTCATTATGGGATGTGCGGTAGAGACAATTCTTTTAGACTCATGTTGCAGCTGTCACTCGATTCGGTGCTCCATCTTGAGTTTGGTGTTCGAGGCCGTGCTTTTCGTGCTCCAGCTTCTATTTCTTCGACGTCCTCAGGTCGCGCTAGTTCGCTGGTGACTTGGGTGGTTGTGATGAGCTTGATGTCTGTGGCGCCTGCACTGACGAGATCATCTGAGCTATCGTTGCTTGAGGAGAGTGTGATCCTGCTCTTGTTCTTACCCCTTCGGGTCTTTGCATGTGAGTTTGTGGCTTCGACTGTGCATTCGCCACCGAAGCGCGTTGGCTTTTCTACCCAGAACACTGCGAATGTGTCTATTCCATTGTCTTCAGAAGGCGGCTCATCGCTGAATATCATGATACGTCGAGTGATTGTGTAGAGGAGGACGTCGAGCCAGCCGCTGGAAGTGATGATTGCGCCACAGAGACAAAGGCGTGCCAGTGATGGTGGCCTGCCTGACATGGCCGCCATACGCGCGCTGGCGAGAGGAATGGTGCAGATGATATATACAAGAGGGTATACGACCATGAGGTTGGCGATGGACCGTACTCGTTCGGACTCTTCGGGCTTGTAGTGGCCTGAGCGAATGCGGACGATCAATATCGCATAGATAAGGGCGTAGATGATGACGTTGCCGAATTCACTTGGGAGGAAAGTTAGCATAAAACACTAGACTGACAGCGTGTGTGCTTACGCAACGAAGATCCAGAAGTAATGGGTCCATAGTCGAAGGTCTTCATGGTCATGACTGATCCAACACCATACACCGGATCCAACGTAGATTCCCTTGCCATGCACGAAGATGGGAACGGTAGAAATGCCAAAGATGAACAACCATAGCAGGAATATGGTCAGGTAAAAGGCCCGGGGTTTTAGTCGATAGTTTAGGATGACAGACGCAAAGGTATGCAGACCGATGGCGAGACACCAGATGCCGCTTCCCAAATCACCCGTCGAGACTAGCCAACTCTGCGCAAAGCAAACGGGATTCTTCACTTCCAAGGATCCCAATCTCAGCCATTCAACGTTTAGCAGGAAAGCAAGGGCTTGTTGTATGTCGGCCCAGACGAGGTTGAAGATTAGGATGACGAATTGATTAGTCCGTTTGGACCGGAGTTGCCAGGACACGAGCTTGTAGGTGAGGACGAATAGAAGGGATACTGAGGCGAAGAAGCTGATAAAGGCCAAAACGACGACTGCGCGTAGCCATGGGTGGATGTACTCTGGTAGTACAAACGACGCAGAATCGGAGTCGTGGTGCTGAGCGGTCATTGCAGCAGGGAGGTCGGATGACGCTCGTCTCGTCTCGTCTCTTGGAGGGGCAAAGATGTTACATGCCAAAAACAAGACCCGTCTTGCTGTTCAAAAATATCATACCGAGTCGGACAGGCATGGAGCGGGTATGGAAGGGAAAAGGAAATGGGTGGCGCAGGGGAAAAAAAGGTACAGCACCGGCGCCGGGAATGAGCAGATCAAGTAGGTGATGCACGGTTGGCAGATGGGTCAGGCATGCTGAAATTCCTCCGCATGGCAGCAAAGAATTGTAATCTGGGGGCCCACTGTAAGCTGGAGTGTTGGATCCTCACCCCAGTCCCCCACCGATAGTGTGGGACGCGCTAGGATGGTAGCGCAGCTCGTGGCATCCATGCCGCACGCGCAACGGAGAAGGATGTTAGCCTATTACTCCTTTGACGACCGTCTCTATACGAAACGTACAATAGCCGGTGTGGGGAAGTCTTGTAGAGGGTACAGTAGAGTATGTAGACTAATCTAATAGTACGACTCTAACCTGAGCGTCAGCGTCGCCGGCGCACTTGTACTACGTAGTGGCATGCAACATGGCCCAGAAGCTCCTCGGAATCCTTTGGACTGCATGTCATCAAGATGCTTCCCCCCCACATACACACACACACACACATAGACAGCAACGTACTCGATTTGGGCAGAGGGGAACAATCGAGCGTCATCTGACCAGCATGAGATCAGGCATGCAGCCGACACAAGGACCACGCGCGGCAGGCCCGGGGTCCACTCTACTTATTGTCAGCCCTCCCTGAGTCTGAGCACTGCACCAATGATTCGGTGGCGTTTGTTTAGGTCGTGTAGAGGCATCTGGTCCGGTTCCTCTTCGGTTGATCTGGAAACGAGAGCCGACGGTTGGTAGACTTGGAAGGTTGTGGCTAGAAGCCACTTCGCATCTTTACAAGATCAAAAAAAAAAGCACCCCTCATCAACGGTGTCGCGAGACGCCTCGAGACGGGATATTTTCTTTACTCGTCATCATATGTGGCCCATGCATGAAAAGAGGGACGATGGGCATGGAAGTGGTGTGTATCACGCTACTATGGTGCCATTTGGTGCAAGGTTCCCCTATCTGCTGGGCCGTGAAGAAGAAAGCAAGAGTGGCCTTCGCACAGCAGTGGTGATGGCATTTCCTCGTCCTCGCACTAGCCTATCGGTGCGTATCGATCTTGCTAAAGCTCCGGCAACCAGGTGGGCAATCTGCCTGACCTTCCTGATGCGTGTGGATAATGTGCGACAAGACGTCTGGCGGGCGGCCAAACTTCAGGCTACCATGGCGCAACAACCACAAGGCGGAGCATCCATGCCATCAGCGACGCCGTGGGGCCAGTCTAGCCCGCCCTGCGTCGCTGCATGGAACACATGGACATGAGCGAGCCAGCCAATCCGCGGGGCGTATGCTGGTGGCCTGTGAGACTGACGACGCGGGAGATGCACCCAGTGCATCTTTTCGGAGCAAAGGGCACGAAGATAGGCGCTACTCTACGAGCCCTTCTAGAATCACGGATAAAAGGAGTCGGCGCACAGGTTGTTTCTTTCGCCTATACTGGCAGCACATCAATATAGCCCAGTCGAGGGACACACGCAAGCAACCTCTAGTGTTCAAGTCAGCAACACATTACCCTCGATAATCCCTCGGAAAAATTACTTTTGAGTGGCTGGCTACACACAGGGGGGGCCGATTGATTGATTTTACCCCGGAAATAGCAGTGTTGGCCGCGTTGGCACAAGAGGTGCTAGGCCCCTTCAGGGCTGGCGAAGCTCTGCGCCCCAAACATGTGCAATATCGCTTCTCGACGTCCTGTTCGTCCAGAGGTCCTGCCCAGTACGCTCGTCGCTCCGTTTCAGAGCCCGCAATCACCCAATCCAGTGCCCTCGCATGCGCAGTAGCCTCGACGTTGCATTATCGCCCGCTTGCCGTGCCATTTGCGATGCTATACCCATGGGTGGCGTTACGAACCGCTTGACTGGGAATGGGAACATGTTTGCGCGTGAGCACAACAAGACCCCAAGCCCTGAGGTCTTGACAAAGTTATATCATGCCAAGCGAGAGCACTGTCACGAGCGCGCTCCCATATGCCATTGGTGCTGACAGCAGGGCTGAAGCCTTCCGACTCACCCGTAAGCACCATCGGGGTCTGCAGATCACCTGGCCCATATCTTTTGTTTCCAGAATGCAATTCGTTTACAGCGGGACCCGACCTTCGCTTGTTCCCGCAAACAATTGAGTGAAGCGAAAGGAATCCATTCCGAACGAACGTGCACCTCGATCCTGTCAGCCCAAAAAGGAACGGCACAAAGGAATTTGCGATGGCGGAATTGCCTCCAAAAGAATGGTCTAGTTACACTTTTGTCTTTTTTAGTGCAATGTCCTGGCCCACGCCAATTGGAAGTGGTAACAACGCCAAGCTCACCTAAGCCTCCATACAGAACAGGTATACCCATGCCCTGAAAAAGGCCGTACTGTCTGATCTGCACTGCGTCGTGGGAAAAATACTGAGGTCATTGCTGACAAGACAAAGCAAATGCGGTCACTGCGCTGATCCAGCCGGAGCGAGAGTGGCGAAAGGCGGTGCAAAAGAGAGAGAGCAAAGGTAGTGGTACGTAGCGAGGAAGAGGAAAATAGTATCCAAGCTTTTTTCTACGTAAGCGAATGTTGGATCATATTCGTGTGCATTGTTCAAGACTAATGAACAAAAAAATGAAATCTTAATCAGAACAACAAGTTTGAGTTTAACACAGTTTTCTTGGTCCAGGTGGAAGAAGAAGAAGGAAACGGCATGTCCGAAAAAAGGTCTTTTGTCGAAAGATTCTGGTCACCTGAGATACATGTGTTATCTGACGCCTTTCGACCGCAATATCTCTGAAACGAACAATCTGCGCGAAACACGTCTTAGAGAATCATACTCCATGTCTTGTCTGGTGCGTGCGATACTCCAGCAGTTTGTGCGTTGTTGGTCCGCACCCCCCTCCCCCCCCCCCAATTCTACATAGCAACCCCGCAATCATGTTTTACTACTACTCTCGTCATGTGTTTGCCCCCATTGGTGCCAACACATCGAGGACATAACATGGGCAGACGATCTCCGAATGTTCGAGACCTTTTGCCCATGGCAAATAGATCCAAGGGGTAGCCTTTTATGGAATCCTGGAGAACTCAAGATGAAAATAAATGAGGAAGAAGGCAGCATGATCATTGCAGAATAACAACATGCTTATCGGTTTTCGGAATTGAAAAAAAGACACTGGTTGTGAACCGGTTTTTTTTCATTCTAGCTTCTTGCGGGATTTCGAAGGTCGCATCCCATCCATTGAAGGAAAACAGTGCGAAATGGTTTTAGGAATTCTAGAAGATCAGAATAGGCGGCTTCTTTCTGTTTCTGAACCTTTTTCCAATCACAAGATCCTACTTGTTCAAACACTCTCAGTGTAGAGAAGAATTTCAAAATAAGTATCACATAGACTATTCGGCGTTTTGTTTCTTGTATTCGTCAACCCACTCAAGGCGGATATATATTCACCGCTAGCTTCTAATGTTTCTTCTGCAGCAACATCCTTTTTTTTCCATAAACAGAAGAAGCATCGCTTCTTACTTACCTCGAAGGCTCTACTTTCCTTAAGAACGGCGGGTTTTCTTGGTACACCTAAGTGTTGAGGACCTCTGATGCAAGCATTTTTTAGCATCTTGAATCCTACCATTGTGGGGATGTCCTCCTCGGTGCTTAATAACTTATTCTCCTGGGATCCTGTATTGATATCACCTTCGTTAATAATCCTCAGATAGGGTTCTGGGATATAGTGATACCAACAAGGGCGTCAGAATGATGTGTGTATCTCGCATGGTGCGGACGCATATATCGCACACCAGGATTGAAGTACTGAAGTAGGCCATATATATTGTATGCGTTACGCTTCAATTAGTTCGAAGCATCTATAAGGTGGTTTAATATACATCTCCCTACCCTCTTAGTCTTTTCCTATCAGTTGTAGCTCCCTTACCTCTATAGTACGAATAATGACTTATCGTGTGCGCATATACTGAGGATATACTTAACGCTCCTCCTCTGCGCGATATTGATGTGCTTTTTAACGCTCTTTATGCGTCTGACCTGTTGTCTTGTCCTTGAGTCTCCTGGAGAACCTATGAATGCTTACTGGTAAAGCTGGAGGATTCTAATCATGGCTATACATAAGTGTTCTAGAAGATTGCGAATTTTCGTCTTGACGCAGCAGCACGCTGGATTGTTGCACTTTCCTACGTGCGAAAGGATTGGAGAGGCTATCAAGTAGAGAGCCATGGGATTGTTGAGTGTGTGAAAAGGGAGAGGTGGTGCCCGTGGAATAGTATCTCAACGGTGATAAAATTGGATATCTGAGCGCATGTTTACATTTTGAGTGAGTCATGCCTGTATGAAGTCTTCATTCTGTACATCCTGCGTGCATGCACTGAACCTTGGATTTCCCATTTTTGGTTAGGTGCATGGCTATTAGTGGTAAATCTCGAGCTGATAGTTGCACACGTCTTGAAATTCGATCCAGGTGAAGATACAAGCCTCGTTCAATGTCGTTAACATCTTCGGAATCCGTGGAACAGATCTCTTTTTCGGAACGTTTTGTTGGTTCTATAGCTGTTGGTTGCTGAGGGTGCGATGATATTGATCCACGTCGAGTAATCATAACTTGACCATGTTCTGAAGATTGCTTTGGTGAAGCGGGTATGTGATTAGGAGCAGAAGACAAAGATGCTGGTGCCTGGAAATTCCGCATTTGCATCTAACGACTGGAGGGCACAGATTCCATCCTCTTCCCCTCTTTACGCCCATCGATCATTAGATACGCCTCACAATTTACGGACTGTGTCAAACATGCATCATCAGAGGAAGGTTCAGACAAAGCATCTGACTGGAAATAGAGCTTTGTCTCTTCCTCTTTCGCTACTTTTGCTAGTTGCTAGATTCTACATAACTTTTCCGCTATCGGAGGTACGACGGGTGATGCTTTAGAAATTAGGACACTCAGCAGCTGCTTTCGGGAGGGATTACTGACGTTTTTTTGTGAAATTTTTGGGAATTCATACTGGGACTAGAGAGATTGATCAATCTGACTCCCAGAACCCTGTTGGGCGAGTATTTGATGCTGGACTGGGTCAATCGGTCAATCGAGAGTGAACATTAAAAATTTCATAGGAACCCCTTGGTACCAAAACAATCACCAGGTGCCTTAGTTCGTGTTTAGGAGGCCGTTTATATTCCCCTGATGCTATATTGGTAGGTCGAGGAGAGGTGATGATCTTGCCATCAACATCTGCATCGGTATCCCCACCCACAGGGGAACGATCCTGGAGGGATCGTTCAAACAATGAAGTCGACATATAGAGTATAAGTGAGAAGGTCTCGAGGATGCATATAGCAGTTATGGATGTGATGCATGGACGTGCCTGGCACTGGTTGAGCAGTACCCATGGGCGGGCTGATGGTGCAATGAAGGCTGTACCACTAATTTCGAGGAAGTACACTGGCAGTGACCGAAGATATGACATGGTATTCCCATACCAGAAAATCACTTCGATTTCTCCTGCACCTATTTACACTGTACCAATAGCAGAAAAGTAAGGTTTGGACTACTGTATCTGCTTACGTCAAGACTACTTTTCTTTCTTTACCAAAAAAGACACGCAGTTAAACATTTTTGAGAATCATTTATGATATGTAGTTACTATTTACTATCAAATCTCAGTGATGCCTTATAGCAAAACCAAGAAACAAAATATTCATCCACTAGACCAAGCAACCTTTTCCCTCACAACTTGGACCGCCTGTTCTCTGCCAGGTATACACGCTTTCATACGGCGCAGATGAAAAATAAAACAGATTATGTAACCAAATATGTGTAAAAAGCTTTGGAGTAAAATGCGTCTCTAACAGCAAATGCCTTCGTATAATCGTTGGATGGGTGAATCTAGGAGCAAAATGAACGAATAACTCTTTCGAGCAAGGTTGGAAAAGACTGAGAAGCTGCAAGAGCCATCTAGGTCCAGTATAAAATAGCCCCAAAAGACGATTTTGTTTAGGGGAAATCAAAGTTTTACTTAGGAGAATCATCATCATCGCAGTGGGGATGGCGCCCGCCCATCCACGGGGGTTGGCTCTGTAGTAATCTGTATGCTGGGGAGTCGTTCTAGGTCCAGATTTAGAGCCGGTAATTGCGGGGCTCTGGTATTGATCGGGCTTTCGTAGTTTGGCGGGTCTTCGTATGCAGGGGCTTCTTCTGTTGGAATATCTACATGCGGCGACGGTGCGCTGCTTCCGCTGCGACTTGTTTCTGGATTCAGAGATATCACCTCGAAGCCTTCGCTATTGCCGTTCGAATGTGAGTGCGAGCTGGTACGGGAAGCATCGGCAAAGTCGTAGTCGTCCGATCCGTGGGACTCGACAGATTGAGCGAGGGAGGTTACGGAGAGGCCGCGTTGGTGGGTATCGTTAGTGTAACCACGAGACCGACCGCCTCCACTAGCGAAGGAGGCGGCCGAGTCAAGTAGGGGACGATGGTCGCTCTCTGAAGAGTTTGCGCGTAGACGAGTGCCATCGTGCCTTGCAACACCGAGATCACCATAGGCTACAGACGAGACTCGTTGCTCACGGCTTCGTGCTCTGGCTTGATGCTCTGCAATGAGCATTTGTGATACGGACAGATCTGCTGCCTCTTCTGCTCTTCGTCGAATGTCTGCAAGCGCCTGGACGTCGCCTCGTGCCCGTGCCTCTCTCCGCGCTTGTCGGCGTGCTTCTCGTTCCGCTGCTTCGACTCGCCGTGCCAGTCGGATTTGGTACAAAGACTCCATCTCCTGCTCTCGCTGCATTTCTTCTTCGTCTTGTGTTTCTGGGAGTTCAATGACGTTGTCCATGCCTGCCCGTTCGCCCTCTCGTGCCAGCACCCTCTCGTTTTCCCTTGCGGCGGAAGAGTATGCGGGGAGCGTCATAACACTGCGAATTGAGGTATTCCGGTCAACGCCATTCGCGTTGGTGCTGCCAATGTGCCTCTCAGGATCTCCTGTTGCTGCGCCGCTCATCTCACCGCTTGCTCTACTGGCACTTCCGCGGTACTCGGTATCCTGCAAACTGGTCGAGTATTCATTTCGGCGCGGGCGCTTGCGGAAGTTCTTCCACGAGAAAACCGAAGGTAGCTTGTCTTTTTGTTCTTGTTGGGCTTTGCGGGCGTTGGCGGACGGTGCGCGATACTTGATGGTGAGAAAGTATGTGATTATGAGTATAGTGAAGATGCCTCCGGTAGCAATTCCAACCTGTGCAGGCAAGCGTTAGCAAGTCTTGACTCGGGCGAAGCGTTTGAGGTTGGTTGCAGCAGGCGGGCAAGGGCGGGAGGGATTCAACATACAACAACAAAAGTCCTGGCCTGGTTGGAGAGTTCTCGTTTCCCCAAAGCCTCGTTGGTAGCATGATGGGCGGGCAAAAACATAGTACTGATAAGACCCTGTACTGGTCTGGTCCAAACGTCCAAACGGCCAAACGGTCAAACGGTAAGTGCGTCAACCAAGAAGTGTGAACGGAGCTTTGTTTTCGCAATGAGATCACTCGTTCCGAGTAGTGTGGATCGCCCAGGCTTCGGCAGGTCCGCGTCCTTGGCCCTGTTATGCGCTACTCAGAGGCGTCGAACCGTTGCGTCTAAACAGCCAGGCAAGCGTCGCGAAGCCCGTGTCTGCGGTTAGGATGTTCGGCGTTATAGGTGTATAGAATAGGAACGAGTGAACAGCAATGGGGAGGGGGACTGCTGTAAGCTATGTTCTGGGCTGCGCCCGGATACCTGCCTTGGCGGCTGGCTGATGAATGATGCAGAATGCTGTGTTGATTGGAAGCTGTCGCCAGGGGTCTGTGGCTGGGGCTTCTAGGCTAAGGAGAAGGCTGCGTATACATCCCGGCTTCAAGAGAAACATGCACATGTCAGTACCGTGTCGATTGACCACTTTGCTATCCACATGCGGGGGTTCTGGCATCACTGGCACCATCATCGACTTTTGCTTCTAGCTTTCTCACATCAGCGTTGGGAGGCAAACTCTAGCCTTGTCATGCCAAAAGCCTCGTGCTATTTTTGGGCGCTTGCAGACTCAAGGATACGCTAGCACCAAATTCTGATTAGAGCTCGCCTCGGCCGGCATAACAATCCCAAATTCACGTGCGCATTCATGCGTTGATCTGTTCCCCTCAAAGTGGCACAGTCGACGTTGTTCCCCTGTGGCGGTGAAATGTGTACAGGGGTATGAATGTAATTTCATTAATCAAGGCCGTCACTCCGTCATACGTCTACGCTTGCTGAAAAGCTCCAAAGTAGATACAAAAACATTGCGCTCCCTTCCAGGCTTCTCAAAATTTCTTGTCTAATTTCTTCAAGAAACTGCCAATGCCCTTTTCCACTTTGTCTACCCGTTTGCCAATGTTGGAGTTGCGTTGTGGTGCATTCGGGTTGCTGTGGTGGTGCACAGCAGCTTCGTTCTCAGTCGGCCTGTAGACCTGCTGGTGTATGTTCTGCGCTTGTGTTGCCTGTGCTGCTGTACTACCGTATTGAAATTGCGAGTAGCTAGGAGAGGCCATGGGCTGGTACTGCTGGGGTGGGAAGCCAGGCGAGGGCACGGCTGAATGTGCAGGAGGAGACTGAGGCGCCGGAGGAAAGCCAGGGGAACTGGGGTAGTTGGCACTGGCATACTGTTGAACAGGCATGGTCGAAGTCCGGCTCAACGCTGGCGGGGGCGGAGTGTTGTTGACTTGACCTAGGGGAGGAGCAGATGGTGGTGGCGCAAATGATGGCGGGCTCTGCGGTGCACTTGGTACTGATCCTGCAGTGTTTGTACGCTGCACACCGGGCGGACCAGTGAAGCCCTGTCCTGGAGCAGGTGGTCCAGGAAAGTATGCTCCTGACGTTGGTTGGGGGGCGAACGACGCTTGCAAAGGATTGCTGTACTGCGCGGCATGCTGGTCATGCACGGCAGAGGCTCCAAGACCAGTTCCATCACTAGCATCTTCTGGTGGAGGTGTCTTTTCGCGATGAGCAATGGGTTCAGGTGCGGCAGGCGCAGCAGGGTTGTAAGCCATTGGGGCGTAGTTGGGCGGTTGCTCGCTCGCAGGGGGTGATGTTGGTGGGGGAACGCTTGGAGGGCCAGGGAATGACTGTGTAGTGCTGATACTTGGACTCCGGCTGGTGTGTGATATCGCCGCATTCTCCAGTCGAGCAATGACGGGACTGAACGTATCGTTCTTGTGCTCGGAGTGTGTTGGGGTTGCATTGGGGTTGCGCGTGATCTGCAGTTGATGTGGTTGTAGTACTCTGCGGATGGAGTCTAGAAAGAGACTCGCATCCTCTGGAGTCCAAAAGTACATGTCTACTGTATGTAACTTGTACATGTATTTGCCCTGGTTCGAGGGGTCAGGGGTGGGGAGGTGCCATTGCGACATGTCCTGGTGAGGGGTTGCGGTTCCATTGTGGCTTTGGAATGCGTCAACTGTCAGGGTGAACAGACATGGGTGCTTGTATGTCTGCTCAATCTTCACTGTGTCCAGCTCTGTAGAGTACCCGCCATCAGCCTTTGCGCCCTGTAAGACATATCTTTTCGCGAAGACTTACGACCGGCAAAAGCGTCTTGGTTGGGAGTGCCTGCATGGTTTGCTATCTCGATGCGCCCACTCTGGCGCATGGGATTGTGGTAGAGATAGACATAGGAGCTCTTGTCGAAGCGGTGGTGCGGGGGGTTTTGTGTAGGCGGAGAGATGTAGTAGTGCACATCTGCGAAGCTGTGGGAAATGTTAGAAAAGAGGGCGTTTTCCGCCCAAAGGCGCATTACTTACAGTGTCAAGAGTGACACTTCACCCTGCTGTGGAGGCATCGTGTTAGTGTGAGTGGTGTGTCTAGTCGGGCGTCCAAGATATTTGACAGCCTAATATGTGGAGAAGGCTGTGGCTGAGCAGTAGCAACGCCAGATTATTAGCATTCAAGACGGACATGGAGAGATCAAAGGCATATATAGGGTGCAAGGCTATCATGTAATCGGACCATAGCTCCTGGCAATAGCTGCGTCGACTTCTATTTGTGTCGTCCTCGAAGCGCCCGCCTGTTAGTGGGGAGTTGACTAGGCGCTGGCAAGCTTCCATCGAATCGCAGTCGCCGAGGGACGATCCACTCGTGACTTGCGGACTTCCGAGCCAATCCAGAAATTTGCTGCAATCGAACAATCCGCCGACAACACCACGACGCGCAATTGAGCTTCGCCGCTGCGTCGAGCCTCTCCGCCAACTTATTGCCAAGTCTGTACAGCCCGTCGCCTGGAAAACATAACCCCCCTTCCTCCTTCCCCCGCCATCGCGCCCGCCCGCTTCGCAGCCCATTGAGGGCAAAATCCTATCACCATCACCGCCATGTCTCTCGTCAACCTAGCACACGTGTGCTCGCACATGCAAAATGCATCAAAAGCCAGACTCGGGCTGACTTCAATACCTGTCTCTAAAATGCACGTCAAAATTGCTTTGGGCCTACAGCGTGAAGGCTTCCTCTCTTCAGTCACACTCGGCGGACCCACACCACCAAAGCCTTTTCTCCTACAAGCACAACAAGATCCCGAGCAATTAGAACACATGGCACAAAAGCTCAAAGACGAGCCGTGGCTTGCCTACCCAGTACAAACTCCACGAGGCCAGAAAGAGCAGGCGCCACTCGGCCACGAGCAGGTCCACGATGTACACGTACCAGAGAACCCGGCGCGGAGGAGATTATGGCTGGGACTGAAGTACTGGCAGAACGAGCCGGTGCTGACCAACATGAAGCTGATATCAAAGCCCACACGGCGGATCTGGCTGACGAGCGAGGATCTGGGCAAGATTACACGAACGCGCGAGTCGAGCTACGTAAAGGGACTTACGCATCCTGGCGAGTGCATGTTTGTCACGACAGATCGCGGCATCCTGGAGGCAAGAGAGTGTGTGGAGCGGCAATTGGGAGGCATGGCTCTTTTCAGGGTGTGGTAGCAGCAGTATCACTGTACTATGTATTTTGTAAGAGGTCTCTGCACCGGTATCACGAGAACGAGGAATTGCATACATGGGAGCAGGGCGGGCATGGAATCCGCGCACCATGCATTTGTACAAAAGAAGATATCAACTACATTCTCACACCACAAGTCGTCAAGTCGTTTTGGTAGCCATGGGAAACGCCTTGTTTGTCCTGCCCAAAGCTTTTTAGAGGCCCTATGGGAAAGAATTGCTCGTGTGGTGTTAGCTCACTAGCGTGGTGGTCGGGCTGCAGCGGTGTAGGGCGTGTCAGGGACTCAGGGTTGATGCGAGTCAAACGTCGCCCTATGCAAACCACGGGTATCCCGGCACCAACGACTTTGTCTTCTACGTACTTGACCGGTTTTTTGTCAATTGACACGTTGTTTGGCTCCACACGACTTAGCCATTGCTAGTGTGAATACGTCTGTGTTTGCGTAAGTCATCATGGCCAAGTTATTGCTAGTGGAGTTTGAAATCATATTCGAGATTATGCGGCTATCTACAATAAACAAACAATGTTAAACCTCGACAATAGGGGATATCCTCATACAATCGTTGTAATCGTACCAATTCATTCCACTTCTGTTCCAATACCTGCAGACATTGGTGAAATGGCGGCATTTCCAAGGAAATTCGTAATATAATCACATTCGTCTGCCACATGTTCCCAAACCCTCGTGGGTTCCGAATCCTTAAATTCATAATATTCTGATTAATGCAAACGTTTCATACTCGTAACAGCATGCGCTTATACAACATAGCTGCGTCGGCTGCGGCTGCGGCTGCGGGTGGAGGAGTAGCGGGGGCTACGAGAGCGGTGGCCGTGACGAGATCGGTGAACTTCGCGCTTAACGATGACACGGTCTTCACGGTGATGACGGCTAACGAGCAGAGCCAGGATTGACGTGATGAAGAAGAAAATGATGTTCCTGAGTTCAGTGTTAGTACCAGCGTACTTGCTTGTCGGGTCGAAATACTTACATGATTCCGAATGCCCACGACGCCTTGAGCATAGCACAGGAACGGTCCACGTCCAAACCCCAGGTGTTGCCAGAAATGGTGAACAGTCCCAGATCGGCGCTGTAATATCCTCGGCGGTTGATGCTGGAGCAGTCTGCATCAGCGATGCCCCGGAGCGCATAGACGGCACCAATAAAGGCGCCGACGAACAAGAGGTCGATAAAGGCAACGAATTTAGCAGAGTGCCTGGCGCGTGTGTAGAGAAAGAGAGTGGCCATGACCCATGCTGCACCGAGTACCGAGACGATGAAGAGAACAAGAATGGATGTTGGAGTAAGGAGCCGGCGCGAGTTGTACCAATCGACGAACCAGGCCAGCATACCCAGCGTCGGTACGAGGGTGACGAACTGGAAGATGCGCCAAAAGATGAAGGATAAGCCAGAGAAGGACATGATGGCAGTGGGTGCGGGCAAGGCGGCCTCGACGCAAGAGATAGTTATGTGTAGTGGGAGAGCAGCAGATGGGTGAAGCCCGGCGGGGTACTAGTGCAATGCGACGAGAAGATGCAAAATGACGACGCGCAGAAGCAGAAGAGGAAGAAGGGTCGAATGGGGTGCTTTTAAGATCTGGAACGGCCCGGGATCAGTTTCTGCCTTGCCTACGAGTGGGCGACAGTATGCGACAATGCTCGGGGAGGTGAGCCGATGTGACGTATTGTGGATGGAAACCGGGCGTGATACTTTAAAGTGGGCATGGGCGAATGGCGGGGGAGGCTGGTATTGTGTGGCTGGACGGTGCCTTCTGCATTTCTGGCCAACCAACACACCACCATGTCCTCCTCAAACAACATACCCACTCACCCACACCACCCACACACACCGGCCTCAAGCCATCAGCCGCTATCAAACGTCTTCGCAGCGCTAACCTTCCATCTACACGCCAGACCCCGAGTCCTCGCCGCGCCTTCGCTACGCTGGGTTCGCGTCCAAGCCGCCAGCGCAGATGGGTGGGCATAGGCGGGCATGAGCGGTGGGCCCAGACAGCTTGAACAGCTGTCGCCGCCCAACCCACTTCCCGTGTGCCAGACGCACCACTGAGAGATGGATGCCATCCAGCCCAGCATTCCCCGGCCCCGCCCTGCAGGCGAGCTTTTTGCCCATCATCCAGCGCCCTGGGTCCAAGCTCCCCTAGGTGTAGTGTACGCTATCTGCGTCTCCAGACCAAAGTTGAGCCCTGTGTCAATCCTGTCAATCCCGAGCCCGTGTCAATCGTCATCCCTAAAGTATATAGAGTGCAGTATCCCATGCTAGCGTCCTCCTGAACATCACACTGTGTCAGCAGCATTCGACACCCGCCGTGCCGTCTCGTCCCCTATTCAACAGTAATAAGGAGATTGCTGACGCCTGAGACGAGCACAACAGCCGGCTTGTCAACATACTCGGCTGGGCCACTTCTCCGCCTTTGACCCCCGACACCCAAGACATGCACTGCGATTGGTCTCCTTGTCCGGCTATGCACCTTTCCTGCAGACGTCGCTTTTGCTCTGTGGCTGCTCGCTTCGCGGATGAACATGCAGCAACCGGTAGGCGTAAAGTTCTTATCAGCAGCCAGTCCGCATCTGACCCTGCCCTGTGCTCCGCATCCTGAGTGCCGGGACGGGCAGACATCAATCTTCGAGAACAGCTAGGTTCCAATATGTATTGCTCCAGCCCATGCGGCTGCAGGCAACCTGGTCAATTCCAAACCCATCCCGCTCTCCACACTTTCTGGACCTTTGTTTGTGTTCCAATGTGCCCGTGTTGGTTGCCTTGACGCCTTCTTGCGGCGCAGTCGCATTTTCTTTCAGCTGCACTCTTGCCTGTCCCTATTTCAACCGAGTAGCACGAATTTGACAGATTGTCCCAACATATATTGTCCTTTTGTTGGTTACACTTCGGCTATGCTGCAAAATTGAAGTATCGACCGGAAACCTTAGGCCAGCAACCAGCGCCACAGATTATCTGACACGAAAGTATCCACACTCCCCGAATCCTCGTCAGATTCGCCCAAGGAAGTTTTCTGGATATTCGATACTGCCCTCACACAACCCCACATCACCACCAAGGACGTACCTCCAAACACAACTCAGGGGTTCTGTCTGCAATATCGCTTAAAAATGTCGGCTCGAGGCGCTCGAAGCCGGAAAGTCCAGCAAAAGCAAGTCGAGAAAAACGAAAAGAAGGGCCTAACGAAAGGCAAATCCCCAGAACCCATCTCTGAAAGTCATGATACATTCGCAGAATGGCACACTTCACCTGAAACCACTAACCCAAGGACCGGTATTTCTCGTTCTCTCACAGTGTCTAGTAGCAACACAGACGTGTCGTCGGAAAGTCGGTCCCGAAGAATAAAACCATCAACAGCTGAGTCGGCTTCGGTGTCCGACGTGTCTTCAAAGGGCAAAGAGAACATGAAATTTCAGGCCAAAGGCAAGGATACCGCAGCACCTCGTGGCAGAGGCGGGGGGGTCCCAACGAAGAAAGCGGTTGCGCCTTCACCTATGCCTCCAGTATTTCGATCCGAATCGGCGGTTTCCTACTCCTTGCCGCCTAATCAAAAGACATGGATGAACTTCAAAGTATGGAAAGGAGGCAAAGACGGAATGCGTCCTTACGGAGGGTTTGATTATGTACGTATTCGTTACTGATTCGTAGCATCACGCTTATCTCTGACATAATGTACCAGGATGAAGACATGCAGCATGGGAGTGTGCTCATCTACTTCAAAGAGGAGCAGGCTGACGATGATCGCCCAATGCCCTCTATAAGAGCAGAATTGGAAGTACTGCAGAATGCGGGGTCTACTTGGCTGAACAACGCTCTGCTCTACGGTCAAATAGACGACAACGATGTCGATGACTGGACGCTTTCGGAAAGCGCGAGCTCGGCATCTGGGCGGCTTTCGCCAAATCTTCCGCAATCTATTCAGACACGAATGCTGAGTGCAACTTCTCCAAATGGGAAATCTCCATCAGCCTTCAATATCGACCAAGCGCATTCTAGCATAGATTCTAGAGCTACCTCCAGGAACCACCATCTAGATCGTCCAAGCTCGCCTCCGTCGTTTCGTCAGCCCAAAAAATGCAATGCTACCCATGAGATATGGTTCACAGCACCAAGCAAGGTGAAAACACCTCAGGCGCAAAGGCTACACTTTGTCGCTATCCGCAATTTTTTGGCAATGCTACATGGAAAGCCCATCGTTGGTTCAGATGTGTATGAAATGCTTTGCACACTACAACCAGAGATACAAGTGATGTATGACCTTGATTCAGATGCTAGGTCAGGCATGACGGCTCGGGAGCGTAGCGTACAAATGATTACAAACTACCTGGGCCAACACGGATTAGACGACTTGCGCAACAACATCCAGCATGCTCTTGGCCTTCTCGCATGGGCGGAGCAAGACACTGTGAGATGGAGACAAGGATACCTCGAGAGTTTTGTTCACTTGTCCGGCATCATGACACCAGAACTTGAAGACCGTTCAGACTTTAAGCGTTTGTCAGTCGTCACTCGACGGAACCTAGGCATTGCCGGAAAGACGTTACGACTGCGTATCATGGAAGCGGAGGATAAGTTGGCCAGTTTCGACTTCAGTGATTTATGGGAAGACATGCCAAAGGCCACCAATAGTCCGGTTTACCAGAGCTATCAGAATTTTCGACAGTTTCTCATCTCCCATTTTACAGGCATCTATGGCAACTGGCCACCGAGTTCTGACAAAACCTGGCTCAGCCGCAAAGTGGTGCATGGACTACAGGAAGACTTTGGGTCGCTCTACGAATACTTTGTCGATCGAGATGTTTTCTGGAATCCCCGTGAGGAGCGCGCAAGTAGAAAATGGGAAATGGCCCATCGCAAGAATGATAACTTCAGTGCAGATCTACCGGAGCTTGGAATGACGGACATGTTGGTTAGATACGATGCGAAGAATGGCTATGCACATATACCGCATCCATACCCTTTACTGCCAAGGGAGGTACCGAAGGATGTCAAGGAAAAAGAGAAGAAGGGCTTCTTTGCATCGCTGAAGAAGGATAAGACCAAAGACACTACAAAGGACGCGAAAGCAAATTTGCAGCTTTCTATTATCTTCAGTGATGCGACGAATATTGAAAAGCTAGAGGCCAACTTTCATGGTAAGCTGATGATTTCAGGAGACTACAGTAACTTTGTTCTAATCAGTTTGCTACCTAGGATCTACTCTGATCGATAAATGCGAGCAATTCGAGATCACGACCAACCTGAAGCAAATGTCGCCACGCGAAGCACGTCTCGGACGCTGGGTGCTTCTCTACGGAATCCTTCAAGTCCTCTCCACTCTGTCCGTTGACGTCCAAGGCCTAAAGTACACTGACGGGGTCCGATATTTCCTCAATACAGACCTGAAACGCCTGCCTGAATGGGTGAGTAACGGCCATGCAGAGCACTTGGAAGCCACACAACAGCAATCATGGTGCTGGCAGCGTTCATGGGACCCTATGCCCATTCCGAATGCACCCGTGGAACTTGAGGCCCCACTGCGTAATGAACGTACCAACCGTTCCGACAACTCGCGCAGTGTTGAAGCAGCAGCGCATTCTTTTCCTAGCCCACCGCCTCAACATGCACTACCCCCACCGCCACCTAGTCTTGACGGGGCGACCCTGATGCAAAACGAAATCCAACGTCTCGGCGAGAAAATCGACAACTTCTCTGTGTCCCACAAGGCGCTTCCTAATTTGAACGAAGACTACGAACGCGTGATACAAGATGAAGTTCACGATTGGAAACCACGATTACAAGGCGAAACGTTTGGACCACGCGCAACGAGCGAGAGCCATCGCGACAACGTATCTACCAACGGCAATGCTATCCTGAGTCCAAGAGTAGACTCACTTTCTCATCATCGTCCCGAGTCCGCTCTCTCTCCATCCCGAACCCAGTCGCGCATGGAAGACAGTTTCCGCCTTACAGGACCCGACTTTGACAGCCCAGATAACTCGTTTCTCGGCCGCCGACAACCCGACAGTGTGCTACAGCATCCGCTCAACACTTCTGTGCGAAGTCACGCTAATATTACAAGTGTGGATACAGACCTCGGAAGCTACCCCTTTAGCTCGAGCGAGATGCAATGGCCCGTTCCGCCAGGGTACACGGAAAGCAATGTCAACACGTTGCTAAACAATAGGGACAGCACGGTGCTGGGGAATAGCCAAGGGCAGAGGGAATACGGGACAGGGGCGAGGATGGGTCAACGGCGGGTGCGTGATAGGAGCGGGTGGGATTAATGACGAGTGTTTCTTTCCGGTTATTTCAGGGGTTAAAAAAGGGCAAAAAGAAAGGGGTGTGGGCATGCGTGTGGAGCAGGACATGGCATTTAATCTTGAGGGGGGTGGCGACATTTTGGATACCCTTCTTTTTCTCTGGTTGTTTCTTTTTAATCGTACCATGCTTATCTGTGGTTTGGCATTGGGGCCAGAAAAAGGAACATGGTTAGTAGTTCACGGGATAGCGAGGTCCCTTGGCGTACAAACAAAGTCCAAAAAGGCGTGCGAATG